CATTTATGTTTCTCTCATTTTGTTACCGCATTTTTGTTTCTCTCGTTTGTTCCCGCATTTATGTTTCTCTCATTTTGTTACCGCATTTTTGTTTCCCTCGTTTTATTCTCGTATTTTTGTTTCCATCATTTGTTCCCATTCATTTTTGCCTATTCACAACGAGGACCGAAGATGAAACCATTAAGACTTTCCTCGCCCTTCTCCGGCATTTCTGTTTCTAAATTGCTCGTTGATTTTTTCACTTAAAAGTTATTTTTTGTGCCTCTTTGTATTTCAACGCATAGGCTTTTTTAATTGTTTAACTATTTAATTTGTTTGTCAGCAATATTTCGTACGTATTCACGTACATTTTTTCCAAACATTTTGCATGTTGTGTTGGCCCCACAGCCTGGGTCTGCGGTGGTGGCCCGGGCCGCCATGCTGCTGGAGGTGGCCCACCTGGTGCACCGCTGCAACAGGGGCCAGTGGCCCACATGGATGCGCCTCCCCACGGTCCCGAGGCCGGCCATGGCCCGTGGCCCGCGCAGGGCGGGCCATCTTCTTCAACGGGACGCTGCGGCCAAGTTCCACGCCTGGGCTGAGGTGAATAACTCGTTCATACTCACGCTTCTATGCGACATCTTGAACTATAATCTTGTTTAAACTATTTATTGATCACTCTTGAAATTTTATTATAGTGATTGATTTATTATTATTATTTAAATTTATTATTATTTACGAAATTTTTTATTATTTTTATTTTATTATAGTTTTATTATAGTTGTTTTATTATTTTTGAAATTTATTATTAGTTTTATTTTAGTTGTTTTATTATAGTTATTGATTTATTATTATTTGAATTATGATTATTATTTTGGAAATTTATTAGTACTTTTATTTTATTATAAGACTGACATAAAACCTAAACAGGACCTATCATTATATCGAAAAACAGGACTCCGATCTTGTCTAGTTTTATTATAGTTGTAAGTTTACTTCATATATACTGTATTGAAATTTATTAAAAAAACTTTTTAAATCCTAAGTTGATGTGCAATAGAGGACGCGACAGAGCGATGACGCTGCAAATTTTTGATCAATATTTATAGAATTAACAAGCGTATACACTGTTAGAAAAATGACCGTTAACGGTATTACCGGCGTTTCAGTGGCCGGTCGGCACGTGAAAAGAAACACCGTGTTACCGTTTTTATTCTAATTTAACACTATAAATCCGTAAAACATCTGATAAAAACGGCGAAACAGTTTATTTTCACGGGGCGACCGGCCACTAGAATGCCAGTGGGACCGTTTTTTCACCGTTTTTTCTAACAGTGTATTACATAATATCTTTTTCAATTGCAGTGCAGGAGAATTTCATTATAAAATTCCATTTAAGGAGCTTTCATTTGATGTTGTACTGACGTAAAATAATGAAATGTCTAGCACGCTTTCTGTACCTACTGAGAAATCGTAAATTGCGAAAAAACTGAACTGAATTCATAATAAATTTGTCAACAAAATTGTTGTTTGTTTTAGCAGGTTCCTGTGAATCATTGTCCCCGGTTTCGGAAAGTTTTTAATTAATGTGCAAATAATGCATAGAAATTTGCTGTAAAACAGGAATTTACTTGCGTTTTTGCTTTCGCTTTTCAAAATAAACTTTTGAAGAATTTCACGCATCAGTTTTCATGACCTACCGCTGGGGTCATTCAAAGAGTTGTCGCATTTGAAAGAAACTTATTACCTAAAATGTGAAAAAAACTTATTACCTAAAATTAATAAAAAATATTACCTAAAATTAAAAAAAAATATTACCTAAAAAAAGCAGGCCATAGTCCTGACACTCGCCAACTGCTTCCCTTCACTCAGAAAATTAAATGGCCATTTTGTCCAATTATTTACACTTTCTGCAGATAGCAATGATGTGCTTTTTTGCCAGGCTAAACTGGGTCAGGGTAACCCACACAAGGAAAAAACATGTTCATCACTATTTGGACAATGTCTCAATCATTTCTTTAAGTGATTATAGAAATATACGTCCAGGATTACTCGTTTAATAAACGTATCTTATTTTTTGTGTTTAATCTTACGTTGCCTTCCCGCCCCCCCCCCCACTCTGGACTGCGCTCAGGTGCTGTCCATAATATATAATATATAATATATATTATGGACGCTGTCCATAATGTATAGGCCCTGGGGGCGCGGCTGGAGGAGCTGGTGGGCGCTGGCCCGACGCCCGAGGAGCTCGTAGCGCCCGTCACCGACGCCGACGCCCGACGTGCGCTGCGTCAGGCTGACGAGGAGGAAGACTTCCTCGACGAAGGTGAACTGTCGGCAATAAATATGTATATGTAATATATTCGTAATTATTAAAAGTACATTATTTATAATGAATTTAATTTATTTATGTTAAAGCCATGCTAATACGTACATGTAATATATTCGTAGTTATTAATAATACATTATTTATAATAAATTTAATTTATTTATGTTAAAGCCATGTTAATACGTACATGTAATATATTCCTAATTATTAATAATACATTATTAATAATAAATTTAGGTTATTTATATTAAAGCCATTCTGATACGTCACTGTAATATATTCGTTATTATTAATAATACAGAATTAATAATAAATTTAATTTATTAATAGATTGAGTTATTAATAATAGTATATTATTAATAATACAGAATGAAAGATAGAGTTTATTATAGCGATGATTGCATGCTAATAAGTCTATGTAATAAATTTGTAGTTATTAATAATACATTAATAGTTAATAATTTAATTTATTATTAATACATTGAATTATTTTTAATAATAAATTATTAATGATACGTAATAATAAGATAGAGTTTAGTATAGCGAAGATTACAGCGAATAAAGGAAAAAATATAACTCAGTACTCACTGCAGTGAGTGACAGAGAGCGCATTTTCTCGTCGACGAAAACGTGAAATCACGGACGGACAGACAGACGGACAATGAGGCTGGGATTTTATTGTATTTATTGTGACATCTAAACATGAGGCTGGGATTTTATTGTATTTATTGTGACATCTAAACATGAGGCAGGGATTTTATTGTATTTATTGTCACAGCAAAACATGAAGCAGCGTTTATTCATTCGAGTTTATTATGAAATCAAAATACGAGTAATCGTTGTCCTTAATGTCCTACATCCCTTGCTGCCCTTATAATAAATTTTCTAAACTTCCTACCGTTAAAAGTGCAATTTACTTGCGTGTAAGTGCTTGTTTTTCTATTTGATTTCACTTCATATAAAATTATTCGAAGTTCAAGAATGTTCATGAGTTCTTTTATCGATATCTAATGTACATCATTTCCATGCAGTAATTTTTATAACTCAATAAGATAAAGAGAACATTTAATTTCATTACTATAACTATCCATATTGTTTAAGATTCCCGTCCCTCTTTGTATGATTAATAGGTTAGTATCTCTCCGCCCGATCTACACTAGGTTGATGTTTGTACAAGTCTACCCTTGCTTGTGTGAAAAAAAAACGTATTACCTTCGTGCTTGTTCCCCCATAAACGTTTGCTGTGTTTGTTATTTTGTGTTGGCTGTAGACTTTGTGCGTCTGCTTAATTTATATTCTAATCGTGTAAAACAACCTTCGCTGTTTCTTAACTAGCATTGGTCGCTCGCCGCTAGTTAAGAAACAGTGCTTCTTAACTAGCATTGGTTATTGCATTGGTCGCTTGCCGAACATTTTGTGTCTCTTGTGCTGCATTGATCTTTTGATTTTCCCCTCAATATTTATTGTTACGTTCTACAAAAGTCAAGTGCAACTTGCTGAAAATCTGCAATGTGAAACTAAAATGTTTATTGTTCATGAATCTGTCCACAAGCGCGTCCATGATAAAGTTTCCCTCTGAACAGTAAAACTATTGTAAATAATATAATTAAATAACTCAGATCAGTCGAAAAGAATTTTCAACTGAGCTGAATGTCTCTTGTTTTAAGGCTTGATGTTTAGTAGCATATGCAAGCTTACCACCTCGCTATAAAAGCTCGTTTACTCCTGCCCTCTGAATAGCCCTCGTCTCCCCTGCCCTCTGAATAGCCCTCGTCTCCCCTGCCCTCTGAATAGCCCTCACCTCCTCTGCCCTCTTGATTGTCCTCATGTCAGTGCTGCTATGCATGTTTTCAAACTCTTTCCTCACTTTGCATGTACAAGCATTCTGTTACCTCGTTCTTTTCACTTATACCACGTATTGGCAAAATCTGATTATGAAATTGGAATTGGGAAAATTGTTATTTGATTGAAATTGGCAAAATATTTTTGGTAGAATCGTGGGTTCAGTTTTTATCAATTGAGATCTCAAAAATTGGCTACGGATAAAGTGACTTATCTCGACACTGTAATGCTGAAAATTTGCGTCTTGTGGGAGCTTGATCGATGTTCTATGCAGCTTACGGAATGCATGTACATTGTAAATTGTACACTGCACAGAGTTAGATATTATATATACGATTGTTTTACTACTTTTGATGGAAATTCACCACACGGCGGCACCAAATTCATGTCCTAAACTGTGTCTCTCCGCGTGATGTTCATGTGTCGATGTCTGCCAGCGCAGGATACGTGCCTGATGTTCTTATAATTGTTTAAGACACTTGAGTGTTTCAAATTAATTAAAAAGCATAGTTAAAGCACTTATGATTGTCGAGCGTCATACCGTCACTCCAGCAACTTATTTTACATAACTCGTAGTGCGCGCTAAGCATGTCGTCGCTAATTTGAAGGCAAACGCTAGGAATACGCGTCTGAATTCTCCTAATGAGTCGCATCCAATACTTCTCAGCTGAGAAACGTGTAAATGAGCCGATAACTTGTATGCACGGTGCCACGATGCTTCCATGCTTCGTTCTTGATCAAAATTCTCCACTATTTTGAACATGGCTTAGCGTGTGCCAGACCTGACATTGTACCGACAATAATTTCCCCTAGACGAAACATATCACAGTTTCTGAACAAGGCGGATAAGGTGATATCAAAACTCGTGCCATGCGCTATTTTTATTTTATCAAGAACGTGAGAAGCTTGAAAGTTTGCTTTAAGGCCATGAATGCATGGTTTCGGTCTGTTTAAATGTGCGCTTATTAAGACGCGCTGTAGAACTGCGGGTATCGCAGTACTTTATTGTAAAGGGTATTACTAGGTTGTACTAAAGTACTCTAAGGTACTTTATTACAACCGCTGCTCAGATGTCTTCATTGATTTGAATTGCTTGTTGCCGAGCATCAAACTTTAAGCATTAACCGTTCAAGACGGTTACCTTCATGTATTCCCTCAATAAGTTAGTTTAGTTTCATCATATTTGAACCCTTCAACAAGCGCGATCGTTTAACAGTCAGCATTTAACTATCACAGTTTATCAGTTACATAACTTCATGGTCGGTTTTGAACAGTGGGCATTTATCAGCCTGTATTGATCAAATATCAGAGCTAAAAAATATAGTCATCGTTTGTGAAATTATATAGTCATCGTTTGTGAAGTGATGAATTCAGCTTCTGTTTGTTAGGTTGGATTTACGTTTTGTACAAAAAGTCTACGGCATACAGTCAGAATGTTTCAGTATCTTCCTGATATTTCTGGGTATCTTCCTGAGTATCTTCCGAGAACCCAATGCGCTCCGGTGCCCGAGCCCGCGACTGTTGAGCGAGATAACAATATGATTATTGGCGAGTATTGTGCGCTATTTTCTTTTAATTACGCACATGAAATTCATGTCTTGACCCATTAATGCCGAGAATTATTTTCTGAATTTTTCTTTGGTTTCCTGTATACTATTATCACTTTTGAAGGTAATAAATGAAAAATGTGTTCAAATATTCATTTTTCGTTGTATGTGAACAATTCTAGCGTGGTCCCATCAGGAACCGGGCTAAATATTTCATGATGCAAATGACTAGAAACATTATTACACGTAAAATCATATACATCATTAAAAGTACTCGCTTTAGCGATAAAATTCTGCATCTGACTCGTAAATAATATATTTTTAGAACTAATTAATCATCTTTTTCCGCTATGATATCAAGCCGTCCTGCCTGACACCTGGTTCTTATTATCTTTGAATGTTAACTGAACAGGGAGTAGTCGGCACAGCAGAACAAACTTTGCCAGAACATATGTACAAGATGTGTATCAAACCTACGCATCCACGTGTATATTTATTTGGTCATTCAATTTTATCATGAATCTATTTTTCCCGCTGGTTCCAAATGGAACCGCTCGGCATTAATGGGTTAAACTGTTTATGATCTTTTCCTGATGTTTCTAAACACGTACTTTCGCTATCTAAACACCACTAAATCCCCTGTGTTTTCTGTGTTATACAAGCCATGGAATTACTAGGCTTGGTTTGTCGAATTCCATCTCGTTTGAGGCACATACTGATATGAATTAATGTTCTAATTTTATGTTTTAAATCCCAAACTCATGCGCTAAACTCATGTGTTTCATGTCTTGTTCCGTGGAATTTAAAGGGAAGGTTGTTCGTGTGTGCTAAAATTGGGAACGGTTTTATGATGCCTGCTAAATTTTGTTCGTATTATATAAAGCGTAAGATAACGTAACAAACGTTCTTTGCATACTGACGTTCATCTAAGTTTTTTTAAATAACGGCTCTTACTTTAATCTGATTATGAAACTAGTTATTTTACTCGTAAATCGTATAAAACCATATTTTTTAATTTAAATTTTTCTTATTTTAGTTAAACTGGCGATACTTTATACAAATGGTTAGTCTCAACACGCGTTTATTACCAAATGAATTAGTATCGCTTAAAATAAGTTTCATATCACTTGTCCTTAAATTAGCGACACCGATGTTTTAATTATGAGCGAGGCTTCTCTTGCAGGACAATCATTCTAGAAATACTTATAAAGTTAAATAGTTTAAAGAAAGGCAATATTGAGTGCACGTTCTTTGGGATAATATAGGAAGTGCAAAGTGCACGGACTATCCCTTGTAATTCAGTACAATTAGCAATAACTCAATTAATGTTGCAAAATATAATCAATTCATGAATGATCAGTTATTATTATTAATTAATTTAATTAATTAAATTAAATTACCTGGAAACAGAAATGAGGCTGAGGACCAAGATAGTATCAAAAACTGAATGGGATTAAGATATGCTTTACAGAACAAACCGTTTCACCAAAGCAGACCAAGGAGATATATTTTTGCTCAATTAAATAGCTGCAGAATCGAAGTAGCTGATTGTACACTGAAGCTGAAATTTTCATAGACGTAAATCAACGAGCCACTCAAATTCAATTTATCTGCGATAAAAATAAACTCTGGAGTGGTACTAAAAATACTGAAGCAACCAGGCCCTATCCCAAATTGAAGGCGGGAAAGAAAAAAAAACCTTAACCGTCAAGCAGCGACACACAAAAAGACAAAAAACAAAAATTAATGAGTCACTCAAAATCAATTTATCTACGTTAAAAATAAACTCTGGAGTGGTACTAAAAATACTAAAATAACCAGGCCCATAGAGTAAGTAAAAGGCGGGAAACATTAACACCTTAACCGTCAAGCAGCGACACTCTATGCACTAAGTGGCTCAAAGAAGTGATCTTGAGGCTAGCCGCAGCCTCCTACGTTCTCGTTGTCGTTAGGCTGGCCTCCGCAGTCCGGCGGTTTGGGGGTCCGAGAAAACACAGGCAGGCGGTGCTCGATAGCGCTGTCCGCGTCCGGTCTTCCGCACGCGTCCGCACAGTCTCTGCACAGCATCGCGGATGCGCATACACGTAAGGCTCGCTATGTCATATCAATTCAATGTCAATTCATATCAACTGCCGCATTGGAAATTATTCTGCTTATTATCTTTGAGGTTCTTCTCGTTTCTGATCACACTCTTCAACACTCTGACTTGGATCGGGGGATGATCTGCAGGCCTTAAGTATTCTAGCTCATTTACGTTAAAATTATTCTTCATTCTTATCTACACTCTTCCTTTACACTGCTCTACATTTATTCCTTCTATATATATTCATTATATTTATTCATTCTATATATCATTTATTCATTCTATATTCTATAATCTATATCAAACTAAAGGCAAAACTACTGACTTACTGGCTGTCTTTAATCATGCACGTTGTCTCGACCATGTTTGGATAATAGCTGCTAAGCAATATGATTACAGAATTTAGAAATATGTGAAGATAAATCAAATTCAGCTCATCGTAAATTGACAAATTTGAATGAGGTTTTGCATTAAAATTCCTTGAAACCTACCAGAACGAATTGTAATTTATGGAAACAAAAATTTATTTGATGATGGATAATTTTGTTCTATCCCTATGGCCTTGAGTGATTCATATACACAAGGCGCTACTTTTTTATCATAAGCTAAGAAAAATATTAGTCTAGCTTTTCTTCAATGTAGATAACCGAGTTCTTCTAGAGCTAAATTGAAAAGACGCTACTGTTATATTTATTAAAATTCCTTGATAACCATAAGAGATTATTTATTAACAACTTCTTTATTTGATCGGTACATAGATGGTATCTAAATCAGCATCGACGTAGATCGTCTTCCTATCAAAACGATCTTCCTTCCTAACGAAGAAATGTCTTCGTTAGTTTTATACTCTTGTGATAACCGTCCGAGAAAAACTTTTCAATCTCAAACCAAACCAATTTTTTGGAACGCACAAAAATTATTAAATGATTCAAACATGTTGAATTGGGTGCTTATGCCACTGGTCTGCAATATTTAATAGTGTATACAGCATATATATTGACAAACCTTTTGCATTATTATTTCATCGTTTGTGAGGTATGATGAGGGACTGGTGTTTCGTAGTCCATATAGAAACTACACGTTGGACTTCTTTAAATTATGGTAATTAAAATAGAAAATAATTCAAACAAGGTTTTTTTTCGGGCCATTTCCAAGATTATTCGATGAATTTGAGACATGATAAATTCTTGATTGTTATTTAGGCGCAAATGAACTATCATAATAGAATAAAAACTTTACAACAAAGTTCACGAAAAGATTAAATTTATCAACAGATGTAAATATTTTGTTTAACTATTTGTTCTTACCATCGAAATAGTATTTATTAAGTAATGCCACTTCTTGTCTTAAAAGTTACGTTTGAATTCGAGTAGGACAAAATATTTATTTGTGTTAAGCAACCCAAGACTCAAACAGTGCATTTTATTCGCATGCTCACTGACTTTTCCAGTGATCTTTTTGTCCTCATTGGTGAAGCAGAGAATTTTCCTTTACATTGTCTTGCCTAATTAAATCTCGTGCAGCTATCCTTGATATTTTATTCTCAGAAAATTGCAAAGATCGCAGTTCTTTTGCCGCGCTGAGACAACCGGTTACTCGGAGCCCTTGTAATCTTTCCACTTATCTGGTTCTTGCGATACACAAAATACAAATATTGCAATCTACATGCATGTAGAAATCTACATGCATTTAGAAATCTACATGCATGTAGAAATCTACATGCATGTAGAAATCTACATGCATTTAGAAATCTACATGCATATAGAAATCTACATGCATTTCTAGTGTCGTAATATTTGGTGAAAACGCGCGATATTGACCGATTGTGCCGTGAACAACTTGAAAAAAACTGACACTCAACATAGTGATGATGATAGTCTACAACTATTGAAATTTTACGATTATGAGAAAATATTATTAAATGAGAAAATTTTAATTATTTGTTATAAAACCAATCACCTCAACCTCAAACTTGCCTTGGCGCGGCAAAAGATATCGTTTGTAAAAATAATTTGTACATTTGCTAACGTATTATATAGTCCTGCCATCGTGTCATCCTGTAGAATTGTGGCCCTGATTTTACCTTTTATTTCAAATGCATTGATTGTTCCCGAAGATTCTACATTTTACTACGTTTCTCGACGTCGTTTTCAGACCCCAAATAACCCCAATATTCCATAGCGTTCATTATTGTTGGTATATCTCGGTCATGTTATACATTAGAGTTGAAGCTTTTTCCTACAGTTTTCTTACTGTCATTTATAACTCCGATATGTATATTTCATTCTCATTTTCCTATGCAGGTATTGAAATCATATCATAGCCTTTGAGTATTTTCATAACCAGCTCTTTGATCTGGTCTATTTTTATTGATTAAACACATGTTTTAATTAACAAAGACGAGAAGCTAGAGAGAGGAATGCGGCTAAAAAATACATCTCTGTCAGAAACATCAATTGTTCAGATATCGATATAAAATTCTACATTTTGTTGGCGAGCAATTCATTGAATGCTAAGTTGCATCGTCTTACAAATTGTTCATCCTATTTTGATCACATTATTTCAGTTATATTGAATATATTAGCTTAAACATCTCAGATTTTTCCTGTGATGTAAAATGAGTTTCAGAAGTGATGAGCGGCAACCATACACTCTACATGCTGCATTCAAATCTACATCTTTTCAACATGTCGCCTACAATTATGTTTCCATTAAATTGTGGTATATCCTATAGTATATATTATGTAGTCTTTTGTCATATGTTCTGCATGTGACAGTCTCCTCAATGACTGATCAATGTCTCGTCTAATGATCGTCAGAGCTGATCTTCATAAACATCAAATGTATTTTTAATATGCTCGTTCCAATATAGATTTCAGACTTCACATATGATTACTCGAGTTTTACCTTGAAGTCACACAAATTAAATATTCTTTTTTAATCATCTTTGAAATCGCACTAATTTCACTAACAAATTTGAGCTCGATTACATATAGTGCTAACATTACTTGTGCCCTTAGCACTATCAATATTGGTGTGTGCTGTTAACTAGATGTATAGTGCTAAGATTACTAATGAGTAGATCCTCCCAAAGCATCAACTACTTAACTAATGTACTAAGAGAAATGAAATAAGTTAACATATGACGGCTGTACAGAAGGCTACACGTCAGAGCGCTCTAAGCACTACCAATACTAGTGTTTGCTATTAACTAGATGTATAGTGCTAAGATTACTAATGAGTAGATCCTCCCAAAGCATCAACTACTTAACTAATGTACTAAGGGAAATGAAATANTGAGTTTCAAATCATTAGCGTTTTTTACTCGTTTATTTTTTATATTACATATTTTCATAGTAAAATCTACCAAATTCAAAACCACATCTAAATTTTTACTAATAATTAATATTTACTCTGCCTAAGTAACGTGAGTTTCAAATCATTAGCGTTTTTTACTCGTTTTAAAATTGAATTATTTGGAGTGGCACTGAGAAAAATGGTATTCGGTTACACAGGACTCTCAAGTACAAACAGCTCGACACGGTGTTGCTCGGGAAAGATAATACTGATCTTTCATAATCCCAAACTCTGTAATCCGTTTCTCATTCATAATTTTCAATCTGAAACAGGTTTTAACAATTCAGGCCTGTAGAATCCCATGTATTCTAAAACTTCCAGAAAACGTAAACTTTGTCTTATCAAAAATTCACACTCGCTAAATTTAAAAATCACGCTTTTTTTTAATCCCGTCCCCATCCCTGTCTTTTAATGTCTCATTGACTATCGTTAAAGTACCAATAAAAATAATATTTAATTTCCAAGATAATTTCCCGACACGATAATTATCATAGATGAATACCTGATCAACCCTACGTCCCTACAGTGCTAGGCTTAGAATAAACAAACACAGAAACTTAAAAAGTAATCGAACTTTCACAAATATATATAAAAGATTATCTAAAAGCAAATCTTGTAAAAGATTATCTAAAAGCACATCTTGTTGAGCTGCTGTCATTTAATAAAATTTATTCTTAACGTAATATTTGTAAAATATAAATGGTTTGCAGAGCACTCACTGTTGGGAGGACGAGAGGCGACGAGCAGGAGGCCAGGCGGCCGTACGCGCGGCCAACCTCTACGGCAAGAAGTCCTCCAGAGATCCTAACTCTTCCTTCAAGCGCCGCTCCTTCAAACTCAAGAGGAAGGCAAAGGAACCTGACACTGACTGTGAGTTGATGAAGGTCAGGTGTCCTGAGGCTGAGTTGATGAAGTTGATGAAGGCAGGTGTCCAGAGGCAGATGTTGATGAAGGCAGGTGTCCTGAGGCTGATGAAGGCAGGTGTCCAGAGGCAGATGTTGATGAAGTTGATGAAGGCAGGTGTCCTGAGGCTGACTGTGAGTTGATCTACACTGAACACGGCAGCTGTCGGGAAGGTCAAGTGTGCAAGGAATTGTGCTATTCATGCACAGACCACACATTCTGACACGTGGTGTATGTTGAAAATGTGTGGGGGGAAAATTTACGAAAACGACAAATTCGTGACGTCTTTGACCGTGTAGTATGACGCTAGTCAGGCACTCATTATCCAGTTACTTCAGAGGCAAGTGCGTAACAGTTTATAAATTAATATTTGAATTGGTATCGAATTTCATGAAAATTTTTGTCGAAGAAATGCAGGAAACTCCTACTCGATCCGTTAATGCACTATAATTTCCCCCTCAGTTTTTTACAAAACTCTTAAAAACATAGCAGTGGAGAAACCAATTCTCCAAGGTTTTATATATTTTCCTAAAATAATTGGCGGATAATTTCTTACCAATTAATAAAGAAATTGTATTTTTTGTTCGTTGGTAATCTAGTTGCTGTTTGTTGCCGAATTCTTGTTGGTTAACGTACAAAATCCTACCGGCGGCTGAACATTTTCTCTCCTGCAGCGACGAAAAATTTTTTCGCCTACTGGTAGAAAATCTCTTTAATACCAGTAGACGAAAAATCCCCAGCCCTCTGTAGACAATCAGTCTCCTGCCAATATCCATCCGCCGAGTTAATAAATAATTTTCGCATGGCAGCTATGAAGCGGTCAGACAGCATCCGGTCGCGTCGGAAGGTGTCGGCGGTGTCGGAGAGGTCCGACACGTCGGAGCAGGAGATAGGGGATGGGTCGGGGGGAGAGGAGTCCCCGGGACCTCTGAGCACCGACGACCTGCCGGACAGTCCCCTTCAGGTACGACTTGCCCTGGGGCCGTGCTATCCGAACTTATTTAAGCACATGTAGCGGCTTAGCGGCCTAAATACACGAAGCGACCGATTTATAGCCTGTGATTGGTATTTTTAGATTGAAAAGCCATCATTATTCTTAATGCCATTATTTTGTTAGTATTTACAAAGGCTTTGGAGGACTGTTTCTTTTTTTGGGAGTATGATTGTCTAAAAATTGTCTTATTTCATTTTAAGAAAGATTCATAACCTTTTTTTGATGAGAGCAACATCTCAAACAACAGATAGGGAGTATATTTTCCACTATATCATTCATTTCAACTGTTTAGTGGAAGATATATGTTATATGCCCACAGAGCACATTATAGCATTCAGACCTGTGCTGCTTGCAAGCATATGTTCAGTCTTAAAATGCCTAGCAAATTACGGACCAGGCAATAAGTCCAGCAGCTATCTCAATCAATCGTCAGTTATGGAAAGATCGGGTTCCAAAGGCCGGATCCCTTGTGAATCAAGTCACGAAAAGTTCATGAATCGGCAACAGGCCATGGGCCTATCTCTTCAGTGCCGACACTTCTATTCTATTCTATTCTATTGTATTCTATTCTATTCTATTCTATTCTATTCTATTCTATTCTATTCCATGCCATTCTATTCCATGCCATTCCATTCTATTCTATTCTATTCTATGCTATTCTATTCTATTCTATTCTCTATGTCTGAGGCTGGACTGTTGTACAGGAGGGAGAGGAGCAGCGCCTGATGACGCACATGCCGTGGCTGAGGCCCGTGATCCGCCTGGCCTCTTCGTTCAACATGATCTGTCCTCACCAGGGCTTCTGCCACCCCTACTGCTACCGCCGCCACATGCGCGCCTCCAGGAGGCTCCTACACGCCGTCAGGAAGGTAACATTAATGAACACTTTTATTGTACTTATTATCATACATTTTTATTGTACATTTTCATGGTACACTTTCATTGTACTTATTATCATAAATTTTTATCGTACACTTTTATCATACACTTTTATGGTACACTTTTATAACATACTTCTATCACACACTTTTATCGTACATTTTTGTCGTATAGCGAATATATTACGATACATATCGTATGTATATCGTACAAGTATAATTCTTTTATGGACTCGTTTTAAATGTTGATTTACTTGCCTGCGTCACCTGAGCATTTGATCAAGAGATTATAAAATATTTTCCACGCCATAAAAAATTTTATCGTTGTAAAAAGTGACATCTTCTCATTACTTTGCCTCGTTGTTCTGCTTTTTACAACATTTCTCTTTAACTTCACTTCTTGTTGTTTGTTTGTTTGTTTTTCTCCTACAAATCTTACAAGTGGTATTTAACACACTTCTACCTCTCTAATCGATCTGAAATTGTGCACACATGCGCAAAGTTGGAGACAATTCATAAATAAATTGACAGAATGAATAATTTAAAAAATTTAAAATCAAATTTAAATACTAAAAAAATGAAAAATAAATTTTTCAAATCTTCAAAAATAAAATAATAAATTCATTGTAGATTAGTAACATCAGAGACACTGGCCTCTTTAGAAGTGTTGTTTGTAAAAACTCATTTTTAAACTCATATTATTAAATGCTCAGGTCAACGCATGTCAACTCAATCAACAAACTTGAATTGTTCTTGCTTGTATTATAATTGTAATGTGAATATATTAATTTTTCTGTCAGATGTACGGTGACGAACAAGAAACGATGAAGGGTGATGTGACCGTGAGCCGAGCATCAGGCCACCACGGTGGCAGGACGGGCCATCATCACGGCAAGAAGGACAAGAAGCACCGCAAGAGCCTCGAGCACGGCGGAGGACACGCCTCCCCCATCAAGAGGAAGGATAGCTTCCCCAGGAGGGATAAGTGCGGCCCCTTGCTGTTCATGTCCAGCCGTGTAGCTTTGTTTGAGGATTAGTTTGCATGAGGATTGTTTTGGATGAGGATTATATTGAATGAAAATTATATCGAATGATTATATTAAATGAGTATTATATGGGATGATTATTTTGAAAGTGGATTATTTTTATGAAGATTCTATTGGATGAGGATTATATTGAATTAGGATTATATTGAATGAATATTATATTGAATGAGGGTTATATTGAATGAATATTATATTGAATGAGGGTTATATTGAATGAATATTATATTGAATGAGGGTTATATTGAATGAATATTATATTGAATGAGGGTTATATTGAATGAATATTATATTGAATGAGGGTTATATTGAATGAATATTATATTGAATGAGGGTTATATTGAATGAANTTATAGCTTTACGTTTTGTCACGTTGCATTCGTATAGTTTTACGTTTTGTCACGTTGCATTCGTGTCGTCAGGATTGAGAAGCCTGCGGACCTGTCGGCGGTGCTGACGCGGCTGGGCCACCACCAAGGCTCGTCCATGCACCTCTCGAAGGACACGCTCGCTACTGACGGAGGCCACCACGTGGACGGCGGCCACGAGAAGAAGGACGGAGACGAGAAGCACCCGCCGCCTCCCGTCGTCAAGTATATCAAACAGCAGGTGGGTCAGGGACCTGAGCAGCAGGTGGGTCAGGGACCTGAGCAGCAGGTGGGTCAGGGACCCGAGCAGCAGGTGGGTCAGGGCCCTGAGCAGCAGGTGGGTCAGGGCCCTGAGCAGCAGGTGGGTCAGGGACCTGAGCAGCAAGTGAGTCAGGGACCTGAGCAGCAGGTGGGTCAGGGACCTGAGCAGCAGGTGGGTCAGGGACCTGAGCAGCAGGTGAGTCAGGGACCTGAGCAGCAGGTGGGTCAGGGCCCTGAGCAGCAGGTGGGTCAGGGACCTGAGGGCTGGTCACGGACACGTGACGGGCAGTGCAGGAATTTTCGGTAGGCAAAAAAACTAAAATTAATAATAAAAGTAAGTATTATTGATTTATTAAGTCTAGGAATAAATATAACCCGTGCATAAATGCAGAGCGATGAGCACAACAGAACGCAGGGTGCATAATTACTTCATGCGCATCATGCGCCAGCAGCAATAATGCGCACAGACCACCCTCACACACCCCTGCCATGCGCAGGTGTCTGGTCTGGTACACAGACCACCCTCACCCACCCCTGCCATGCGCAGGTGTGTGGTCTGGCACACAGACCACCCTCACACACCCCTGCCATGCGCAGGTGTGTGGTCTGGTACACCTGTCTCTTATACACATCTAGATGTGTATAAGAGACAGGTTATATATTGATTACAATATACAATTTAAATGTGTTAGCTAGCTTATACAGGGTGNTAAAAGTAAATTTAACTTTATTACCTTACATACAATACAACTTCTGCTTGGGTCCTCTACTAAATTTTGATCTTTTCTATTGTTTATGTTTTTATTGTGATATCTTTGTTATTGTAATACTTTAAAAGTAAGTTCAAAGTTATCTAGCCCATATATACCGCTTGTCCTTTGGTCCTTTCCTAAGTAAATGCGAGCATATTGATATTGATATATTGTTGATATTTTGATATATTTTTAATTGTTTATGTTTTTATTGTCATATCGTTGTTATTGTATAACTTTAAAAGTAAATTCAACCTTATTTAGACCATGCGCAACGCTTGTCGTTAGGTCCTCTAATATGCAAATGCGAGCAAAAAGATTACATTTTACTACGAAATTTGAGTAAATTTTTAATTTTTTATAGAATCCATACATTTTCTAAAATATACCAAAGTATGGAGTAAATAATGTAGCCGTTGAACAAGCTTCTTTCTGAATTTCTAATGCAAAAAAATACTTCGCAGTAAATATTTATCTGTTAACCGTGGGTTCAGTGGGTGGTTGGGTGCAGGTGGCAGCGTTCTTTCTGAACTTCGAACGCAAAAAAGTAATTCCCAACAAATATTTATCTGTTAACCCTGGGTTGAGTGGGTGGTTGGGTGCAGGTGGCGGCGACGGCGGGTGTGGTGTTCATCGTGGCGGGGGTGCGGGTGCCACAGTTCACGTCTGACGTCATCAGCAGGGAACTCACCCACTCTGATCCTTCAGTGCGTCTCAACGCCATCCTCAGGTACGCATGCTGCATCATTGACAACATCACTGACATCACTTGCATTAATGGCATCATATGCATCACCGACATCACAAGCATCACCGACATCACAAGCATCCCTGACATCACATGCATCACTGACATCACAAGCATCACTGACATCACATGCATCACTGACATCACATGCATCACATGCATCACTGACATCACATGCATCACTGACATCACAAGCATCACTGACATCACATGCATCACTGACATCACATGCATCACACACATCACAAGCATCACCGACATCACAAACATCACTGACATCACAAGCATCACTGACATCACATGCATCACTGACATCACATGCATCACCGACATCACAAGCATCACATGCATCACTGACATCACATGCATCACTGACATCACAAGCATCACATACATCACGCCCCTGTGCCGCAGGTTCCAGACCCTCTGGAGGTCGAGGCACCAGGCGTGGCCCCGCATGGAGGAGGGGGGACAGCTCACATTCAAGGTGCCCCCCCACGGCATCGAGTTCACCCTGCCCTCCCCCAAGGTGGGGGTTGAGTCCCTACACGTCGTTGACCCCCCGTGGATGCCGCTCATCAAGATGAATCTTGAGGAAGTCACGCTCAGCCAAATTCAACACTTCGGCAACTCCGCGCCTGAGGTGAACTGCTATTTTGATAGTCTAATTTCCTGTCGCGATCGCGATTTCAAAATTTGAAATCTTGACCTTTTTTCACCTGTTATATTTCTTAGCTAATATACGTTTTATTTTAGCCCCTTTAGTGGTACGTAGATTGTGCAAGTCGTTCCAGCCTTTGCCCACGTGAGACCCCAGCCTGTCTGGTATTGCGTGGCTCCCATGCCTTGAGAATTAGATTATTATTTTCAAAATTAAATTTGTTGGTGGACATCTGAGATTTTCGAAACGTTCAAACCTTACCTGCCATTTTCATGCAATGGGGTTCACTGTCTCAATCTTTATTTTAGTCTTAGTCATCGTTCGGCGTGTGTAAGCTGCCTTGTCTAAAGAAAATGTCATCTTTTATTTCTGATGCTAATCATCGATTCAATTAATTAACTGCTAAAGCTCCCCTCATTTTCTCGGTCAACACTGTTTCGTATTTATTTATAAATTTCACATTTTAAACCACGATAATCATCACCTGAACCAACTAAGAAGCTGTAGTTGTCTGTCATATCAGAAGACATTATTGAAATGTAGTTACATGCACTGGGACTACCTTAAAGATTGAAAGGTATATACATGTGCTGGGACTAATTTAAAGATTGAAAGGTATTTACATGTGCTGAGACTGCCTTAAAGATTGAAAGGTATTTACATGTGCTGGGACTAACACAGAGTTTAATTCTCATAGCGCATCAAATAAGCCGATAAGCGGTCAATTTCAAATAAATAAGCCGATAGCGCATCAAATAAGCAGTGCGGTCAATAACTGCGGTGCACATAAACGGAACATGCATTTCTATGTCACTTTGAAATATGTGTTACATCGCAAACAAGTTTGCATTTGAAACCATCGGAAACAAGATTGCATTATTGAAATTTTCGTAGGACAGATCTAGCATCAATTTAAATCGCATCTATGGGACTCACGCGCTGTGATTATATTTATTTTTATTTGTTCACTTTGGCATTTATCAAAACTTCTGGTTTTCTCCCTTGGCGTTTGGTTGGAAAAAGCCTAATTCTTTTTCTTATGTTATTCGAATGCAGCTCGACATTGTTTGCTCGTACAGAAGAGAAGGAAGGTGAGAAGGGCGAGAGCAAGGCTGCTGAAGGCACGAGTCTTCGTCCCTTGGTCGCCCCGCCCGTGACGATAGCGCAGCAGCTGTTTCCTTCGTCGCTGTGCTCCACCGTCCTGACCATCATCCACCTCCTCGACGACCCTGCGGTCACTCCTGACGGTGTCGCCGTCTACCAGGTCGCCCACCAGGTCATCTGGCTCTGCCTCGTAGAGGACTCGGCTCTTTTCCTGCGATTTTTCTTAGAGAAGCTGACGCGGGAGCGGCAGGATGTTATGGTTCGGTTGTTGCGTCGTCTGGTTCGCTTCATCACACATCTGCCCTCACAAGCGGCATTCGCCCTCTACAACTACATGGTGGGCTACGTCATGTTCTACGTACGCGCTCCCGGGGACACGTCACATCAACACATCGCTGCTGCCCACGCCATCCTCTGGAACGTGCGTTGCCTTATTTCTTTCTTTCATTGATATTACAGAACTTTTCCAGCCTCTCATTATTATTGAATGTTTTTTTTACTTTAGTTATAAATTGTAAGCGTAATTAAGGATTCTCGCATATTTCATTTTATTTTTTTATTCATAGTGTGTATTTTATTTCAACAGTTTCAGATAAATTTGGCTCTTTTGAATGCATACTTCTTATACAAAAAGACATTCTTTGCGCAGGTTCAAATTTGACGACTTTTCTGCTTTCCTAAGTTGAATATTTTTTAACGAGGATCGATAGCTTGTCTTCGCAATAACTAGCAATAATAATTATTTTATTTAAGTTTATTTTTTTCAGACAATTAAACGCACTAGGAACTTATAAATTATTTCCTGTGATCTTAAACTAGACCCCAACCCAAGAGAAATTCTACATAATTTAATTAAATGAGCTTACCTTGATGGTTGCAGGTGGTTGTGATCTTAAACTAGACCCCAACCCAAGAGAAATTCTACATAATTTAATTAAATAAGCTTACCTTGAAGGATGCAGGTGGTACCGAGCATGCAAGGCATCCTCTTCAACCTTTAATGAACTTGAGATGGTTGCAGGTGGTGCCGAGCATGCAAGGCATCCTCTTCAACCTTTAATGAACTTGCCTCGATGGTTGCAGGTGGTACCCAGCATGCAAGGCATCCTCTTCAACCTTTAATGAGCTTACCTTGATGGTTGCAGGTGGTGCCGAGCATGCAAGGCATCCTCTTCAAGGACCTGAAGCAGATCTTCCGTAAGGAACAGTGCGACTCCTTCCTTCTGCTCACCGCTAACGTCCCGTCAGCCAAGAAGATCATCGTCCACGGGCCCGGGGGCGCTGATGCTGGGGGTATACCATCGCAGTTCCCCATCCAGGAGGACACTCAGTTCTTCCAAATCCTGCAGGAAGCTCTAGACTTCTTCGGCATCCCTGAACAGGACCACAACTCCTACTTCCTCTTCGACCACAAGACAAGTACGTGAAGTCTTTATTCTCTGTTGATATTGCTTAAATAATACATCGTATATGAAAAATTATACTTGTAGTTCATTCATGAATATTTGCATGAAGAATTGCTATAAGAGCAAAATGAACATTCAAGACTGTTAATTTGTGTGAAATTATTTTAGTTTTCTTATTACTTTAATGCTGTAATGAGACATGATTTTAGGCGACGGACGATCTAATGCTGAAGAGCACACCAACGAAGAAATATGTTAGTGGTCTGATTAGGTTATGGAAATTTTAATGCGATTGAAGATTTGGTGTCATTGTTATATATAATTTTATTCTTGATCGGCGATTTGCTTTAATTCAGTCAGGTTGCGTCTGTAGCGTCTTAGGCTTTACTCGGAGTATTCGCGTATATAAGTTCTCGTATGACGTTCAAGAACAGACTAGATAAAGCTATGGAAAAATATATGTTCAGATTTGAAATGCCTAGCACCATATCGAACCCGGTGGAAGTCTAGTAGCTACTTCAAACTATCGCCAGTCATGAAAAGATTCGAGTTTAGATCTTCGAACAAGGCACGAAAAGGAAAAGATTCGGCAACAGGCCACATCTGGCCTACACTTCAGCGCCGACATCACTATGTTATGTTATGTATGAAATAGGTTACGGCAAAAATCGTCCAGACAGATGGTTGCTATGAAACACTGGTACATTTAATAGCAAATTGAAAATTCCAGTTCACATCTTACGTTAACAAAAATCTCCATTACAGGAAAAGGGTAATCCGGAGACAATAAAAGTCGAGAATCTATCAGTTTATATCCCTAAAATCTCCTAATCTACCAGAAACGTTGATCCGTTGCAGCTCCGTTGAGTAGTACGACTGTCGTAAACGATCGACCTTATCTCACGCGCACGTTTGCGGCCGTACCGCAGCCGCGTCACCGCTGTTCCTTCGTCTTCATAGCCGTAATTTACGATGTCTCACGGCCGGTCTGACCGTTATTATAACGACCGTATTTCTGAATAGTGGCGTATAGTCTTTTTTGTCGATGACATTACTCAAAGCTCATTGCCGTACTTCTGCTGTTGGTGATCGTGACTGTATCGCTACTGACGAAGACCGTAACGATGAGTATTATTGCGCAGTGCTCGACCTTGAATGTTCTGTTTGTTCGCGTTAAAAATGTTGAACGTCTTGTTGTGTGTCGCGTAGTCTCACGGCTAAGTACAACCGTAGCAATGAATGTTGACTGTACAAACATGTCGAGGTTATGACCGTTGCTCGTAGATTTCTAACGTTGTTACAGCGAAATCTTAGTAGTATGAATGTCTCGAAGTTCCGCGCGGCCGTTATTTCTGACCCCTACGGCCGGGGTCGTAACCTACGTCTGCAGAGCGAGCTGCAGACCGTACTGGCGTGACGGTCACCACAGTAGTACAACCTTTTGACACGAATTTTAGGGTCCATACATAGGCAGACGTGGCGCACACATAAGCCGGCCAAATGACGCTGCGACAGTTTCTAGTTCGACAAGGGTCAGCCTTTTGATGCCCTCGGCCATTCTGAACTATAAACAAACTCGCTCTCACGGTTTTCTACCCCAACTTTGTGCTCAAGTCTCATCCTGCCTATAATTGCTCAACATCGCTCGGCCATTCTTCACAACTCTACATACGCTATGTTTAATTTTAAAATATGAACAAAAGTCAGAATTACCTAGGTTTTATTCAGGTCGAAGTGATGTCCTCCACTCTGTACCTCCACTCTGTACCTCCACTGTGATGTCCTCCGCTCCTCTTAACCTCCACTCTGTACCTCCACTCTGTACCTCCACTCTGTACCTCCACTCTGTTGTCCTCCACTCTGTACCTCCACTGTGATGTCCTCCACTCTGTACCTGCCCTGTGATGTCCTGTAATGTAATGACCCCCACCCACCCCCCAGACCAGATGCACAACCCGCAGTCGTTCGTGCGGGACTTCTACTTCTTCAAGCGTGCGCAGTACCCTCAGCTGGTGATGGTGCACATGGAGCCTGGCGCTGCGCACGAGGCGCTGCAGATGCAGGCCTTCACGCACAAACTCATCGAGATCGGCAAGGTGCTCATGGCGTGGGCGGTCATGCGCCAAGATAAGGTCAGTTCTCTTCCGACACTTCAAACAAGTCTATGATGACATTTTTTAAAGCAAATACTATAGCTTGGGCGGTCATGCGCCAGGATAAGGTCAGTTCTCTTCCGACACTTCAAGTAAGTCTATAACGACATTTTTTAAAGCAAATACTATAGCTTAATTGGGCGGTCATGCGCCAGGATAAGGTCAGTTCTCTTCCGACACTTCAAGTAAGTCTATAATGACATTTTTTAAAGCAAATACTGTAGCTTAGGCGGTCATGCGTCAAGATAAGGTCAGTTCTCTTTCGACACTTCAAATTAGTCTATAATGACATTTTTTAAAGCAAATATTATAGCTTGGGCGGTCATGCGCCAAGATAAGGTCAGTTCTCTTCCGACACTTCAAACAAGTCTATGATGACATTTTTTAAAGCAAATACTATAGCTTGGGCGGTCATGCGCCAGGATAAGGTCAGTTCTCTTCCGACACTTCAAGTAAGTCTATAACGACATTTTTTAAAGCAAATACTATAGCTTAATTGGGCGGTCATGCGCCAGGATAAGGTCAGTTCTCTTCCGACACTTCAAGTAAGTCTATAATGACATTTTTTAAAGCAAATACTGTAGCTTAATTGGGCGGTCATGCGCCAAGATAAGGTCAGTTCTCTTTCGATGCTTTAAATAATTTCTGTTGTGACCAGTTTTGGAAGTGAATATTATAACTGCTATATAGAGAGATGGTTTCGTAATCTTACTTATTAAGTAAAGTTTGTTAAATGCGTCGGGCTTGGAGGTAAGTGCAATTTGTTTGTAAAAGCAATACTTGCAACATACCTATGAATATAACTGCAGTTTAAACTTAGATTATACTTATCACAAAAATCTCGACATTATTTTTAATAATGGAGATAATAAATATAGGCAAGAATTATTTTTCAGTATATGACAACCGATTGTTCGTCAATTACGGGCATGAGGCATCGTCGGATCTTTCTTCTGAGTATCTACCCTAACAAAATTTAGAGTCGCCCCAGCTTATGATAATCCAAATCAGAAGCTGCCGCGTCTGTAAATNTCTCTGACAGGTATCTTATGGACGCTGTCATCTCTGACAGGTATCTTATGGACGCTGTCATCTCTGACAGGTATCTTATGGACGCTGTCATCTCTGACAGGTATCTTATGGACGCTGTCATCTCTGACAAGTATCTTATGGACGCTGTCATCTCTGACAGATACCTGCTGGTGATGCCGACGCTGCTGCGCGTCTACAGCAACTACAGCAGCAACAAGATGGTCACGTCAGCCGTGGAGTTTGGAGTGAAGCAGCTCTACATCCTCCACCGCAAGCCCTTTGTGCTCCAGATGCTCGGCTCCGTGGCCTCCATACTGGACTCCGACGAGCACGCGACTTATGGCGATGCTAATAAGGTACGATATGGAAATGAACCCAAGTGATGTGAATACATTCTTAACCAATGAGTAAATGGGAACAGCCTATATTTAATGAATATTATGGGATACTGTGAAGGGAATTGTATTGTGCCGCTTCTTCTTAAAATTTGTAGATTTTCATCATATCTTCTGAAATTAAATTATTCTTACTTAAAATCACTGGGCTATGCATGAAAAGATTGTTTGCATTAGTTTTTATCGTACACTGCCAGCGTTTTTTATCTATGAAATTCTATCGTAGAATTCTATGAAAATTCAATCATAGAATTTTTCGATTCAATCATAGAATTTTTGGCTCCTCGGTGATCTTAAATTTAAAAAAATTTTTGTCCCGATCCTAGTAAATCCGGAAACTCTAGGATATTTTGAAATTTCCTGCTATAGGTACAACCTCGTCGCTTGTTCGACCTGCTGGTGTCGATGGAGCGTCTACACGAAGACCCTTTGTACATCCTGGACCTGGTGACACTCGACAAGCCCTTGAGGGCCCTGGACTTCTGCTATCACGACGAGTCGGACAACCTTCCCTTGCTGGAGACTCTGGACATGTGCGTTACGGTCGTGGCCTTCTCAGCGGACAGCAAGCGTGGCCACCAAATGTTGACCATCTTGGACGCGATCTTGAGCATGATCATGCAGCACATCAGGAAGGTCAAGTCCTCCAGCAGGGATGGTCGGCAGGAGCGGGAGATTATCCATCACATTGCCGTGTCCATCAAAACGATGATCATTAACTGTGAGCCCTTGGCTAAGAACTACACCGGGCCTCAACGGGCCACGGGGGAAGGGAAGGGGTCTAGCAGGGTTAACTATGGCAGGTCTTCCAGGGTGCACGGTCCACCCATCGAACCTGACGACGACAGCCACTCCCGCTACTACAGCGACTCCCGCCGCTACCAGAACTACGAGCGCGACGTCGAGGACTCGGAAGTGAGTCCTGAACAGGAGGTGGTAGTGAGTCCTGAGCAGGAGGTGGAAGTGAGTCCTGAACAGGAGGTGGTAGTGAGTCCTGCCTGTGAGTCTTGAGCTAAATATGCTATGTTAGTGATGCCTACAGGTATCTGAAGTACGTCACTATAGGCCTGGTTGACACGATCCATACCTGTAAATGACAGCGCTGAATGCATCTCTCATTGTTCTATGTACATCAATATGTGACAGATTCGGTCTTGTATTCGACGTCCTCATTCAATGCTCCAGTTTCTTTAATTACATTCAATTTTATTCGGAAGATTAGACGTTTATGAAAATAATTCTACAAGTATTTGTCCAATCCATAAAGTTATTTAGATATTTATTTAACATAAACAGCGTTCAGCCGAAGTTATGGAACCATAACAATCATTGAAACCTATTTCAATCATTGAAAATAAAAATCATTGAAATTTAACTTTCATTGGTTGAATGGAAACTTCTAACAGAATGAAACCCATCACGTTTCATTTAATTTGTCTTTGTATATAACAAAGATCTAGAGCCTTTCTTCGCATAGGGTTGTACAATATGTAAATTAGGGGAATTTTGTTTACATGTGGGTTTTCTACATAATTTTTTACACAAAGGGTGTTACACATGTTGCTCTACACAGGGGTATTACACATCTTATTCTACACAGAGGGTTCTATACAATAAAGTTTCAAGAATTTACTTACATGTTTAATAAAAATCCGATTCGTCCGATGTCGGCGCAGGCGCTGCGCGCGGAGTTCCGGCGTCCGCGCGACACGCTCTTGCACGTCGTCGCCGAGTTCCTGACGAAGGCGTCGACGCGCCTCGCTGAGATCAACCGCCGCGGCCACGACCCCGACCTGATCTTTACCCAGTTCTCTTCACCCAATTCTCTTCACCCAATTCTCTTTACCCAGTTCTCTTCACCCAATTCTCTTTACCCAGTTCTCTTCACCCAACTCTCTACACCCAATTTTATTCACTCAAATCTGTTCATTTCACCCAATTCTCATCACCCAAATCTCTTCTTTTCACCCAACTCTCTTCACCCAACTCTCTACACCCAATTTTATTCACTCAAATCTATTCATTTCACCCAATTCATTCACCCATATTTCTTGCCTTCACCCAAATCCCTCCCATGTACCCAGCGTCTGGCGGAGGTGGCGCACACGCTGCTGAAGGTGGCGCCGTACGACGCGTCGACGATGGGGTGCCGGGGGCTGGTGCGCTACATGAACGAGATCCTGCCGTATCCTGACTGGTGCAGGGAGGATCTCAGGCCCGCACTCATCAACATCCTGCGCAGGCTCGACAAAATGTTCAACAAGATCGCTAAAAATTCCTCAATCAAAGTGCGTATTGCGCATTAATTTATTCATAATTTTTAAGTTGGTATAGTGTAAGCATTTTGCGATTATGATGAGAATCTCATGGCGAAAATCACTAGATTTCGATAATCGGAGTGAATTTCAGCTTCATTTCATGTTTTAAATATATTGCATTGATTTTCGACGAAATTACTATATACTAGTGAGTTGTGGGGTTTTCATTTTTTTATAATTTGTAAAATTAGTTTTATAAGCATTTTGCATGTATTGTGAAAAACTTTTGTAAAAAATCGTAACAAATCGTCAATCAGAGGGTCCGTTTCTCATTAATTTTGTCATGAATCATTTTTTGTTTCACTTTGGGGCGTTTGGATTCCTGATGGCCCATGGACGACAGCCACCTGACGCTGTATCGATGATATTTTAAATAAATTACTACTGCATGGTCCGTTGAACATGTCAGTTGAACATGTCAGTTGAACATGTCAGTTAAACATGTCAGTTGAACATGTCAGTTGAACATGTCAGTTGAACATGTCAGTTGAACATGTCAGTTGAACATGTCAGTTGAACATGTCAGTTGAACATGTCAGTTGAACATGTCAGTTGAACATGTCAGTTGAACATGTCAGTTGAACATGTCAGTTGAACATGTCAGTTGAACATGTCAGTTGAACATGTCAGTTGAACATGTCAGTTGAACATGTCAGTTGAACATGTCAGTTGAACATGTCAGTTGAACATGTCAGTTGAACATGTCAGTTGAACATGTCAGTTGAACATGTCAGTTGAACATGTCAGTTGAACATGTCAGTTGAACATGTCAGTTGAACATGTCAGTTGAACATGTCAGTTGAACATGTCAGTTGAACATGTCAGTTGAACATGTCAGTTGAACATGTCAGTTGAACATGTCAGTTGAACATGTCAGTTGAACATGTCAGTTGAACATGTCAGTTGAACATGTCAGTTGAACATGTCAGTTGAACATGTCAGTTGAACATGTCAGTTGAACATGTCAGTTGAACATGTCAGTTGAACATGTCAGTTGAACATGTCAGTTGAACATGTCAGTTGAACATGTCAGTTGAACATGTCAGTTGAACATGTCAGTTGAACATGTCAGTTGAACATGTCAGTTGAACATGTCAGTTGAACATGTCAGTTGAACATGTCAGTTGAACATGTCAGTTGAACATGTCAGTTGAACATGTCAGTTGAACATGTCAGTTGAACATGTCAGTTGAACATGTCAGTTGAACATGTCAGTTGAACATGTCAGTTGAACATGTCAGTTGAACATGTCAGTTGAACATGTCAGTTGAACATGTCAGTTGAACATGTCAGTTGAACATGTCAGTTGAACATGTCAGTTGAACATGTCAGTTGAACATGTCAGTTGAACATGTCAGTTGAACATGTCAGTTGAACATGTCAGTTGAACATGTCAGTTGAACATGTCAGTTGAACATGTCAGTTGAACATGTCAGTTGAACATGTCAGTTGAACATGTCAGTTGAACATGTCAGTTGAACATGTCAGTTGAACANTGAGTCCTGCCCCACCTGAAGCTGGTGATGCAGGTGTGCCAGGTGAGTCCTGCCCCACCTGAAGCTGGTGATGCAGGTGTGCCAGGTGAGTCATGCCCCACCTGAAGCTGGTGATGCAGGTGTGCCAGGTTTGATTCAACTAGTCAGTTATAACTTTAATACTTCTTCCCTACATATAAAATTTCTCTTTAATTAAGGAAATATTTCTAATAAATGTTTCAAAAAAGATCTTAAGATTTTTATAATAAAGTCAAGTTACTTGTATTTTATTATTAATTGTTACTTCCCGTATAAGTAATTGATAAAAGAATCTTACATTTAGTTAAAAAATTTCATAATAAATGTTTCAGAAAAGATCTTTAGATGTTATAATAAAGCCAAATAACATGTAAGTCATTATTAATAAAGCGTTCTCCGCACCCACCCAGAGCTTGGTACTGGGGGAGAAGCTGGGTGAGAGCGAGGGTGGGGGAGGCGTGTTGGGTGTTGCGAGCAGCGTTGGGGGAGCGTTTGGGACTGGGGGAGGAGGAGGGGGAGCAGCTGCTCTGGGGACTCTAACTCCCCCACAGCACTTCTGCTCCATGGTCGTCAAAACCATCGCGCTCCATATCCACGCCATGGGGGTGAGGGCTCTTCTTTGTTGTTGTTGCTTTACTGTTGTTATCAGCTGGTGCTGCTGTTGAAACTGTCCACCAGCTTTATAAACAGTGTCCACCTGTTGAAACTGTCCACCAGCTTTATAAACTGTGTCCACCACCTGTTGAAACTGTCCATCAGCTTTATAAACTGTGTCCACCACCTGTTGAAACTGTCCACCAGCTTTATAAACTGTGTCCACTACGTGTTGAAACTATCCACCACTGATTGGAACTGTATCCGCCAGCTTTTTAAAATATGTCCAACAGTTGGAACTGTCCACCAGCTTTATAAACTGTGTCCACCAGTTGAAATTGTCCACCAGCTTTACAAACTGTGTCCACCAGTGACTGGAACTGTGTCCACCAGCTTTTAAAATGTTTCCACCAGTTGAAACTGTCCACCCGCTGTCCGCATAAGACATACCAGCAGTTTTCAGTGTTTGCACCAGCCACTTTAACACCGAATTCCTATACCGCGTTAACCATCTATGTTTCTCCCCGTTTTCATCCCAATGTTTGTGAACATCCTAACCAAGCTTCTGTTTTATGTGTATTAACGAGCTGTTTTACATGTGTTAACAAACAAAGCTGTTTTACGTGTGTTAAAAAAAAGCTGTTTTACATGTGTTATCGAGCTGTTCCACATGCCTTATCTATTTTAAATGTTTTCCCATGATTTTGAGGTTTTTGTTTGTGCCGCTCTCAGATGTTCAGCGATGTGACTGGGGTGAGCAAAGTACAATCATCACCACAAATATTCCTATACGTATTCTGTTTTGATCAATTCGGTTTTATTTCTGCAAGCGCTTTGTGTGGCTCTTTTTGCCGGAGGTTGGCGGAGAGTGCTAACTTTATTCCTTATGTAATTCAGTTATCTACTACTCTCATATTGCTAAAATTTTTATTTATTGAAGGAAAAATTTGCAATTTTGATTGGGTAGACGTCTGTTGACTGGTAGATTGGGTAACCAGTCTGTTAAGCCCCAATATACTACGAGCAAAACTACTTAATACATCCTAACGAGTTGTAGATCAATTCAATGCGCTCTCCAACAACCCCGACCCACCAAGTCCACAAAGCAATTGTTGCGTGATACAAGTAGTGTCTGTTTCCCGCCTCTGAATGGCTGCGTGCGTGTCATTGTAACTGCATTGAGTCTTTCACTCCCTATTAAACTCGCTAGTATATTATTTTATATTTAATAAGACTTATTGTCCTGTCTCTAAATGTGCAGGGTAAAATTAACCTTATTCGCCTGCCTCTACAAGTGCAAATTAGAATGAAACTTTTAGTTTGTCAGTGCAATTGCAAGTTATATTGAACCTTGTTCGCCTGTCTCTAAAAATGCCGGTTAGAATGAAATTTATTCGCTTGTCTTAAGAAGTGTATATTAGATTGGACCTCAGTCGCCAGTCTCTGCTGGAACAGGTTATAATTTCATTAGCACATCAAAGTACCCTGAATTTACTCTTATATGTCGCCCTGAACAGTATAGTTACTTTCATTTTTAATTAAAAAGTGGGATTTTTAAATCCCGCGGTCGCGTTCCCATCTCTATCATCATTTCTACATGAGAATTGCTGAATTTATCTAATAATATTAAATACAATGTATTGTAACCTGAGTACCAACGTAAAAAGTTGCATATTGATGATGGAAAAGCTAGTGTCACTAAATGCAGTCCGAAGAGAAGTTTCACCCGCCATAGTCATATGTCCATGCACTGGTGCACTGCGCTGGGTTCGCGTTCAAACTGATAATAAGAAATAGAATAATTTGAATAAATGTTGTAATAATATTTATCGCTTTATATTCACCAACTCCAGCCAACATATCTATTCACTAACTCTATACCGCATATCCATTCGATCACTCCAGCCAGCATATCTATTTCCTAACTCCATACCATATGCTAACTCTATGCGCCAAAGGCTCGGAAGTAACCAATAAAAAATTGAATATATATCCTGAACTTCCATTCCAGTATCTTGATCGCTTTACTGAATGTCGATTTGATCTAATATCTCTGGGTACGAACGCAATAGATTGCATGTTTAGTTAAGGTGTTATAATACATTTTTATTCGACTTTGTCATGTATGGGTATTAATTCAACTCGTTTGTATGGGTGCTTTTTTATACTCCCGTGTCTTGGTGTTTTTTCTTATATGTGTTGTTTCTTTTTTTGCTTTTATGTGCTGATGTTTTAACCCTTACCTGTTTTTCTAAGTTTATGTGTTCTTTTTACGCTTGCGATTGGATTTTTTAAGTTTATTTGTTGCTTTTATACTCTTATGTGTTGTTTTTTACTCTTACGTGTAGTTTTTTTTACGCTCATGCATGTACGTGTTGATTCTTTTTATTCTGGTGTTTGGTTGTTTTGTAATTTATTATTTGATTAAATGAAATAACAGCTCTGCGCTGTTATTTATCCTATTATTTAGTTATCCGTGACCATGATTTTACCGTGTCATGTATGTGCCTTTAAGCCGTGACCTTGCTTTATCTGCGTTTTGTACATACGTGGCCTTGCTTTGTAACATCTCTTAACATTGGATGTATCGTTATGCATGATTTTTAGATTGCCAAATCGTCATCGATTTCTATAAATCTAGCATATGCATGTTAAAAAATCCTGCTGAAATATATCATTAGGCTCTTCAGCGATGTCTAATGTATCCATAGACATTGCAAATTGAAATATTTATACGGCCGTCATGACCAGAAATAATTCATAATTCGATCGACGGTAATATCGTTCGCATTGCATGACAAATGGTGACAACATATGCGGTAACATATTGTATTGAAACTTACGCTGGACACTTGAGCTGGCATATGAGAAACTTCATGAGAATTTCCGGGACGGTTTCTGATCTCCACAATAATAATAATAATAGCGGTTTCAGCGTTTAGTAGGCCGTGGGCCTGTCGCCGATTCTTAACATCGCAGAACATTCACAGCATTTTGCGGTCTCGAACTCGCAACTCACTGCTACAATTCTGCTATGCTTAACCGCCCGGCCTCCTTGCCGATTCTGACCAGAAACTGGCGCACAGAGCTGGGATCGAACCCGCGCCTCTCTGCGCCAATCCTGGTATATTCTGAACTTTAACCGCTGGGCCACCCTGCCCACAATCCTCAATCCTTCCACGCAGAATTGCTTTGGGAGTTTATGGAGCATCTTGGTTCTTTTTCCACAATCCTCAATCCTCCTACTCAGAATTGCTTTAGAATTCAGACAAGCAGGGAAGTTTGTGATTTTTGGAGCAGTGAACGTAAACTTGCGTTAAGTTGAGCCCGAACTTTTTCTGTGCTTAATTAAACAAGACTGATGGAGTCTCTACCATCTACAAACTTCATATGAAATGTGTAGTTTTTAAAGGCATGTATGAGGAAATTATTTCAGCTTCTGATAATAACCGGTTTTCAAATTCCGTGTAGTCAAGTCATGGCTCTTGCAATGCAACTTTTGTCAATAGATATCATTGATATATATTTAATGGTTGAAAAAGTTATGCTTGAATTGGTCCTCAATGAATTAAATTTTACTTTCCCAGCTCTGTGCGTCAGAATCGGCAAGGAGGCCGGGCGGTTAAGCACAGCAGAATTGTAGCAGTGAGTTGCGAGTTCGAGACCGCTTCAAGCTGTGGATGTTCTGCGATGTTAAGAATCGGCGACAGGCCTGCCGCCTACTAAACGCTGAAACCGCTAATTAAAAATAATTAAATTAATAAAATAAGAAGCGAATTCAATAGCTAAGAAGAATTTACTTCACTGATTAACTCCATGTCAAGTTCGCTATGTTGTCTACCTGACTGTACGTAATGTATGAACTACAAGCATGCACAGCGCTTCATGCATGCATAACAATATACTCGCCTCAAGTATTATCCTATCGTTTATACGCACTCCCTTCACTCTTTGTCTTACGTCCTATGAAGCTCCCTTCACTCTTCATCTTGCGTCTTTTTGAGGTTCCTTATCTTATGTCTTATGTCTTATCGAGTTCCCTTCACCTTTTGTCTTACGTCTTATCAAGTTCCCTTCACTCTTTGTCTTACGTCGTATCGAGTTCCCTTCACCTTTTGTCTTTCGTCTTATCGAGCTCCCTTCACTCTTAGTGTTCGTTCTTCTCTCCTCTCCTCGTGTAATTCAGTCTTCCCCCATTCAATATCCACTGTCTCCTCACTATTCTTTATTATCCTTCCTTATTCTTCTCTCTTTAACCCACATAAACCCAATAATTTATGCTGTCATCTTTTGTTCATTTTAACCTGAGAAAAATTCAGTTGAAAATAAAAGCATTTTCCATTTCACTTTCTGAGCGAGCAAATTCATTTTTTATTGTAAAGTTAAATAATTCTTAAATTTGTACACGTTTATTCTCTCTTCCTTTGTCTGGTTTTGTCCATGCGCTTCGCCCCTTGGTGGGCTGGACCCACCGGTTGCACCCTCCCCCTCCCCTACAGGTGAGCTACTCGCTGGAGCAGGCGTGCGGTGGGTCGACCGTCTTGCCCACCCAGGAGCGGGCTGAGAACCTCATCATGAACCTCTTACTGCCGCTGTGTCTGCGAGTGGGCTGCGGCAGGAAAGGTGGGTTGCAGTAGGAAGGGTGAGCTGCGGCAGGAAAGGTGGGTTGCAGGAGGAAGGGTGGGTTGAGTGGGTTGCAGTAGGAAGGGTGGGTTGCAGTAGGAAGGGTGGGTTGCAGTAGGAAGGGTGGGTTGCAGTAGGAAGGGTTATGGATAACAGGGTTGACTGTCGCTGAGAAAGGAGCGTTGTTGCTACTAAGAGGACTGTAGCTGGGAAGCTGGGTTTTTCTTCTCTTAAGTGAAAATAAGCCTAATAAATAACCATTGATATTCTATTGTATTATCTATTATAGACATCCTTGAATTGCGTAAACAACGTTTACAATCCCATTCGTGAACTATAATCACATTATAGCTGGCGCCTTGACAAAAGCTCTATTTCAGACGTGCCCAAGCTGCGCCCCGTAGACCTGAGCTACGCTCTCTCCGTGCTGCTGTTTGCCATCAACCCTCCCCTCGCAAAAGTGGGAGGAGGTCCCCACCCCGGTCCTGGGGGAGCTAGCAGTGCTGGGGGAAAGTCAGGACTCGGGGGAGGTGCGGGAGGGACCATGTCTGGGGACCAGAGGACCACGTCCTGGTCCCAGATTGACTCACGGGGGGCCATTTACCCCAAGCTGCGCCCCACGCTACTCCGGGCCGCCTTCCTGGGTGAATGCTTCGTGATTGATTTAGTGAATCAATGAATAATTTTTAATAGAATTTATTAATAATAATTAATGAATTTTTTAATTTTATTTTTATTTTAATTTAATTTTGATTAATTTAATAATTCAATCAGTGAATAATTTTTTTTATAGTATCCCACTTGTCCATTCGGGACTAGTATTGGGATTTAACTTACCTGATCACCTAGGTCCTAGGCAATAGGAGTGAAGTCGCTCGATCTCATATATCGTCGTGCATTTATTAGTTAGTTCTTGAATTAGGGAAGTAGAAACAGCAGCTGTGAATGTAGTGCAAATGTGGTGAGCTCCATCATCACCATGTTAATGCTTGTCCTGATGATGTGTGTCAGGTCTGAAGGTGATGCTGGTGTGGTGAGCTCCATCATCACCATGTTAATGCTTGTCCTAATGATGTGTGTCAGGTCTGAAGGTGATGTTGGTCTGCTTCGAGAAACAGCTCTCGAACGACTGGCTGCGCATCCTGCACTGCCTCAGGTGCCTTCCTATCAATAAACATCATTCCTTTCATATTTAAATAATTCGATTTCCATTGATACGAAGGAGGCTTATAGTAAAATTTCGAGAACGAAATGAACCCAATTTATCTGTAAATTGAAACTACTGCAGTCAAAAATAACGTTTAACCTAAACTGTCTTTTCAATTCTTAAATTTTCTGATTAAATAAATAATCCTGGGTTAATATTTCTTAAATTCTACTCTTAACTCTTGACATTTCTCATGACCGTCGATAACAAATTTTTGGTTCGCTTGCAGAATGTAAGGAGGAAGCTGCAGTGTATAGACTGTAACAGTTGCCCCTATAACTCTGAATGCTATTCATTCATGCAAAATAAATTGAGTAAGCGAAATAATCCATATGAGATAATATCCATTTGATTAATAAAAATTTATCACATGACCGAGATTTTAACCAATAACAAATTTGTTCTCGATTTGTTCTCGATTACCGCAGGGACTTGGACAGTCGGGGACAAGTGGGCCACGCGTTCTGGGACTTCCTGGACTTCACAGCGACCTACCGCACGCCTCTGTTCCTCCTCATGCGCCCCTTCATCCTCCACAAGGTGCTGGTGGGCACCGTCTCTAGCAAGAATTTTTAGTTATAAAAGTTTTCGACGAGAGAGTTTTATGTTATGATGTTTTTTATTATAAAATGAACCCAGAAACCTCATTAATTTCTTCAGCATGGTGACTACTGCTGTAAATCCGACGGTGCAATATTGGGGTTTTTAATTAATGACTTAGAAGTCCACTTCTCAGAAACTTTTTTTTTGTTACAATGCGCTAATTCATTACAGTAGAAATAAAAATTTCAATTTCTAAATGTTTGTGATTAGAGACACTGAGGTAATTTATTCCAATTCCTGTTTAAATTGCACTGTCCTTGCGGAGTCACGGAGCTCTGATCTCAGCAAAGTCTCGTGTGCTCAGCTGCGTTGCTCCGACGCGACGTCAGAGCACTACAGAGCCCTGGTGCGGGGTCGGCTGCTGGGCCTGACCCTGCCCAGACCGCGGTCCAGGGGCTCCCTGCTGCTGGACCTCGCGCGCCAGGTCAAGTGCCTGAAGGAAGAGCTATCTTCCTCCAGGCTTATGGGTGAGTTATGGGTGTGTTAGGGGTGAGTTATGGGTGGGTTATGGGTGAATTATGGGTGGGTTATGGGTGAATTATGGGTGAGATATGGGTGAGTTATGGGTTAGTTATGGGTGAGTTATAGGTGAGATATGGGTAAGTTATGGGTGAGATATGGGTGAGTTATGGGTGAGTTATGGGTGAATTATGTTTGAGTTATGGATGAGTTATGGCTGAGTTATGGGTGAGTTACGGGTGAGTTACGGGTGAGTTATGGATGAATTATGGGTTTGTTATGGGTGAGTTATGGTGAGTTATGGCTGAGTTATGGGTGAGTTACGGGTGAGTTATGGATGAATTATGGGTGAGTTATGGGTGGGTTATGGGTGAGTTATGGGTGAATTATGGATGAATTATGGATGAGTTATGGGTGAGTCATGGGTGTGTCATGGGTGAATTATGGGTGAGTAATGAGTAAATTGTGGGTGAATTATGGGTGAGTTATGACACTTCTTACTCGTACTCATGTGCAATCATGCGCCTAATGCATTCAAGTAATAGTGAAAATTTAATCTACAATGAGCTGCCAATGTTTAATGTATTTATAGACTTCTTTTATCTCATTTTATTCTACCATGGAAATTTATGCTTTTCTAAATACTTATCAACCTCATTCTTATTAAGAAGAGAATGAAGCTAATTAAAAATTATTTACAAGAGAATTGGGCAATTAAAACAAGCAATATTCTTCGCAGAGGAGTAAAAAATCGGCGCATTATTCGTGAACTAGAATTCCAAAGCAAGGGAAATGTCGCTTAAACTCACTATATATAGTGAATTATATAGTGTTTAAATTAAATTAAATTCACTATATATAGTGAATTATATAGTGCTTAAATTAAATTAAATTCACTATATATAGTGAATTTAATTACAGACAACTTTACGGAGTTGAGCTCTGTCGTGAGTTTAAAAACATTGTTGTTGCTGGACTTTAAAACTTTTTCTGCGTGAATATGCTGAATTTTTGTTGCCTTCTATTTGTTTATATGTTCTTATCTAATTTGCAATTCAAGCGACTAATATACCTTTATTCTTGTTTTAGATCAAACTTTCGGTGTAAGAGTTTATGTAAATTTATGAGAGAAATCATAAGATTTTTAATAAAGTAATACGATGATAAATAGATATATAATCTAGCCGTGAATATGATGAGCTTCATATCAATAACAGCAATACAGACCTAAGGTTAATCAGTAACCAATGAGGAACAGTAATAAGTAATAAAAGGTTAATCAGTAACCAATGAGGAACAGTAATAAGTAATAAAGGATTCATCATTAATAAATGGGGAACAGTAATAAGTAATAAAAGCTTTATCATTAATAAATGAGGAACAGTAATAAGTAATAAAAGCTTTATCATTAATAAATGAGGAACAGTAATAAGTAATTAAAGGTTTATCATTATTAAAAGAGGAACAGTAATAATTAATAAAAGTTTTATCATTAATAAATGAGGAAAAATAATTAATAATAAAGGACGAATAGTTATGAATAATAAATGCGTAAACTGCGTAGGTGAGATGGAGGCGCGGCCGTCGACGCTGGAGGTGCAGAGCGAGGTGTCCAGCGGGCGCCCCAAGAAGGGGGCCAGGCCCCCGGGACCTGACGCTCCCCCCAAGCCCTCATCCTCCCCACCACCGCGCCAGAGGAGAGGTCAGCTCACTACACTAGTATAATACTTCACTCAGAATAAACTATACAACAATAATACTTCACTCAAATAATAACACTTCACATAATACTTCACTCAGAATAAACTATACAATAATAATACTTCACTCAAATAATAATACTTCACATAAAACTTCACACAAAATAAACTATACAATAATAATACTTCACATAATACTTCACTCAGAATAAACTATATAATAATAATCAAAATAATTTTGCCCCTTTGTCTGGGGTTTTTGATGTTGTGTGGGTGTTTGGGCGCCTATTTCAGGCTTTCAGCCATTTTCCGGCAAAAATCTCTCTTGACTTGCTAAGGAACAAGTAGGATTTTTTTACCCACAGTATTTTCTTGAAGAGTTCAAACACGTTCTAGCAGCAATTGCACTCGGTACACCCGACAGCTTTACTTACAATTTGTATCTACCTTATGTAGGTACCTATTTGCCAAGTTCTACGTCTGGTATAAGTTTCATTGTAACGAATAATGTAACCGAACAAAGAGAGCAGTTATTAAGAAGCAAAATAACGAAAAGCCCTCTACAAATTATTTATATAAATCACGATTTATGCAGTTAAGCTCCTACGAGCTTCTTGAATTTTGAACGTTGAACTTTAACTAAATTTTCTTATCAACATTTCTCACGTTGTTGATCCTCAAAATTTGTTTACCGGCAGTTGATCCAGGACCAGTACGGAAAATATGAATTCCATTTAATGACAAAGTATAAAACTGTCATTAGAAAGAGCAACACTTTTTATTAAACTCCTCTTATGTTTTACAATCCCACCACATTTACGTTTCGCGTAAAATTTTTCATTATTCAACGAGTATCCTTTAATGGGCGGAATAAATTGATTGCGTAATTAAGCAGGTGATGGTTGAACTCCCTCGGGAGACCTGCACAACACAGCGGCGATGCTCGAGAATTTTTGAAAGCTTTGGAGCTAGAATGTCTGGCGGTCAAAAATGCAAACTGCTAGTGATGACTGATCACTAAAAACTGTAAATTCTCCAGAATATTTTTTTCAAAAACTTCCTCCCATTGATTCTGTCACAATCCAAATAAAACATATAGAACGTTAATGTTCACATTTAAATATTTATTGCTGCACCTATTATAATTATACGTTACTCGGCCCCGCGTAGTCACACTGTGGTATCATGTATACCTGACGATGAGTCATGGTGAGGGCAAAGTTCAGGGTCCATACTTTCAGAAGAAGTTAAGAGATCGTAAGTTCATCAGCCAATTATTGACGGCCTTTCAAGCAAAATCCGCCAATCATAGTCAAGAAAATAGAGCGTATAAGTACTTACGTTCACTTAGCGAGTTTTGAAAGTATGTCCCCAGGACACGAACCTAAGATCAACCGCTGCATCGACGGTGAGTAGCAAGGCACAGTCTGTACATATAATCCTCCACTTATACCACGCAATAATTAACCTGTACAAACGCGCTAGACCTTAAACCTGTTTGTTTTGTTGTACATTGTTCTGTACTAATGCCATACTGTGCTTCATTGTCTGTGTTCTGTTGATGATTGTTCATCTGTGTTCAGCAGACTGTAATGGCCGCCCTCATTGTCTTCTTGTCTTCAAGTTGACAAATCGGATAAACAAAGCGGTTCTCGTTACATAAAGTTTTCTTAGGCGTAGCGGATTTAATTTATCTTAAATCAAATTTGTTCAGTTACGAAATGACTCTTTCAGCAATATTTTGTGAGGTAATAAGAGTATCACATCTCATATTTATTATGACTGAATAACTGAGCACTTATACCTTCAGATTAGCGTAATTCTCAACAACTTCGTTGGAAGTGAATGTAAAAAAGGCGAAACTTTCTCATTTCGGATCCCGCTAAAACATTTTCAAAATAGTTTCCGTCCTTGCCTTAATTGTAATATTAACTCCTCCATGGTAATGCCGAAAATATTCAACTGGTGCGGCATGCATGGGCATAAATAAACTGTGTTCTTTTGTAACCTCCACACCCCACGCGTGTACTCACTACACATTGCAGGCACATTAACTTTCTTTACATGTCACTGTATTCCATAGCTCCTTGTATAGATAGCATTGCTTCATTGAGGTGCTCACTCCACAAAGGGCTGTGTGCCTTGTCTCAAAATATTAGAATAGAATAGAAGTGTCGGCACTGAAGAAATAGGCCCATGGCCTGTTGATATTGCCTGTCCTTTGTCTCAAGATATTGCTCAAGTCTCATATTTGTCTCAAGATATTTTTAGTCTCAAGATATTGCCTATCCTTTGCTGCTGCTGTTGTTGTGCTGTACACTGTTGGGACTAATCAATAAATAACAATACTATTTCATATCTTCTAATATTTGTAAATCACTGGCAAATATTTGTAATTTATCACCTGCTGATTCATCTCAAGCCAGAAATACTGAACCAGTTTTGCCTTTATTCCGCTTTCGAATTGAAAAAATGATATCGCATTCCGAAGATATTGTGTAGAATTCTGGAATTGAAACCTGACACTATTCCGACAGCACCTAAATTGTGTGTTATCCTATCGCAATCTCCGACGATTTACTTCCTATCATTCCGCTGTTGCAATTAACTGCTTTCATCCCGCTCTTCAGAACTAACTGACGGCTACAGCCACAAACCACGTAATTACGGCTATTATATTTCCGAGTTTTCCGCATTCTTTAATTGGGGTTAAATTTTGCGGTTGATATGCTAAGATTTGACACTTGATTAGGGCTATACGGAGGCTCGTAGCTACGTTAGGGTACGCACACAGTGAAAGCAGGTTGCCTGCGTGCTGGTTACCTGCTCAGGCTGGCGCCTGAAACCATAGAATACAGAAGCCTATTCGTACAGGTTTTCACTGTGAACACTTAAATTATTATCCTATATTCATTCTTGTGGCAGGTTGGAGCAGGTTGCCTGCACGGGCAAACCTGCTTTCACTGTGTGCGTACCCTTACGTTGGCCTCGAAGCGAAATATCCAAAATTGTCTTAAAGCGATAGAAAGTTAAGTTATCTTAAAAAATTTAAATTTCACTGTCTTTGATGGCATTTTCATGTATAATATAAGTAAACTAAAATAAGTCTCATTTCTTAAATAAAAAATTCACTAAATAAATTATATATTGATGTGAAAGAATCGTTTATCTCACTAGCAATGAACCATTTACGTTGAAAATGGTGCCGCATGAGTTCTAACTATTCATTCTTCCGTGAACCAGCAAGCGGGCACACTTTTCCACTAGTTTACACTAGTGGAAATAATATGGAGCTCACCTTCTTCCTTCCTTCCATCCTTAATATTGAGCTCACCTTCTTCCTTCCTTAATATTGAGCTCACCTTCTTCCTTCCTTCCTTCCTTAATATTGAGCTCACCTTCTTCCTTCCTTCCTTCCTTAATATTGAGCTCACCTTCTTCATAAAATGTAAACATGCAAGAATTTCTCCCACAACATATTCAAAAGACAACTTAAATCAATTAATCTCGCCGTAAGAGTTATTTCTCGTATTGAAAATTTGGTATTAATCGTTTATTATTTATTATTATGTTATTGTTATTATTATTATTATTATTATTATTACCTCATCTTTGGAAATGATGCTCAAAATATTGCGGCCATTAACCCTCTTCATGCATCGATATAAATCTCTACCTCCTAAGCCTATACTTAGATCATACAAAAATAACTGATAATAACTGTGCTTTGTTTTATTGTGTATTAAACTGCTGACTTCTTTTCAAACAATAATTGGCAGCAGACTCCTCCTGTTAATTGCTACATTATAACGAGTTTATTTAGTCGTTAGGTGTCGCATGCTGAATAAGTATATCTTGTTATCAGTGATTCCCAACCGAAGAGTTTAAGAACATCGAACTTATTTGACGCCGTGTGCCTGTCGGCCGCAAGCAAGACTTGAAACATTCAATTGATGATGATACGTCCTAAATCGATGAATCTAGTCTAAAGAATTATTTTAACGATCATTTCTTAGTCGGAATAAGTAATTTAGCACAAGTCATTCTAGCAAGTGATTTCAGTCGCAAAAAGGCAATACCACCTGTGGGCAGGGTGGCCTAGTGGTTAAAGTTCAGAGTACCAAGATTGGCGCAGAGAGGCGCGGGTTCGATCCCAGCTCGATCTGTGCGCCAGTTTCTGGTCAGAATCGGCGAGGAGGCCGGGCGGTTAAGCACAGCAGAATTGTAGCAGTGAGTTGCGAGTTCGAGACCGCAAAATGCTGTGAATATTCTGCGATGTTAAGAATCGGCAACAGGCCTACGGCCTACAAAAGGCTGAAACCGCTATTATTATTACTATTATTATTATTATTAATATCTTGTAAACACGAAAAAATCTTTCTCTCTCTGCCCGCATTTGTTCCGCGTGGTATATTAAGAACAATCAAAATAATTTGGTTGGGAATCATTTGGTATTAACATCAAACGTGTCTTTCATAACGCTGTGTTCTAGTAGCGTGCCGAGGACGCAACTGCACTACATGTACCCTTATCAAAAGCTTGGCTGGCGTATAGGTGACACCCATTGAGCTTATAACCATAAACTGCACGTATATAATCTCTTCTCATGCAAGATCTGTTATGTCATGTACGAATATTTACCTATAAATTCATTTTTACGCAACAATGGATATCTTATGGGAGTCACCAATATCAGACCAAAAGTAACCTGCCTAAAGAAACCCATAGACTCTTTTAACTGGCACCAAGATGTCACTTGTATATTGTTGTATAATCTGCAGTTTTTCGGCTCAATTCCTCGATGATCTGCGCTTGGTTGGTATATATAAGTTCCCGGCACGCTCGCCCTTAACAGGCTCGGTCAGGTTCGGCCGAGCAGGCGCCCTGCCCTCGGCCGCGGAGGCGCCGGGCGACCGCCTGCAGCGTAACAAAGGAGCTTTTCTCTTACGTAAACGTGCGTCGTCTGCTAATCTGATGGCGAGTGCTGCAGCTGTAGCACCTACACCAGCTGCTCTTAAAGCCGATCAAAAGCAGCTGACGGCTGCTGCCTCATTCTTGCAGGAGGAAGGTAAGGAAAGATCTAATGTTGCCTTCTTCAATATCAACATCAAGGAAATGCTAAGGTCCCTGCAGTCGATCACACGTGTCATGGGTACAGTTTCGTTTATGTACTAACCCAAATATTTGTATAAATATCGAAGTTTCTCACATGCAATTTATGGCTCATATACGAGTGGCACATAACGAAACAATCCAATTATTTTCATTTCTGCAATTTTATACTAATAAATGACTCAACTCCTGCCTTGCTCGTATTTCACGATGGATTTGCGTTGCATTAAGTCTTAAATTCTTAATAATTTAAATTTAAATTAATCTTCCTTAAAATGCTATACCTCAGCGAGTGCCTCTTGTCTAACAACATAACGCACAAGCGACCTCTCATGCACTGTCTGATCGTTTGTCGCACCTTTGTTTTTGTAGCGCTTCGCTTACAATTTGTTCCGCTGGTGTTAGAATTCCCACATTATTTTCCAAGACTGCAAAGTTCTTAGATGATTTTAAATAAATGTTTCTCCCAGCGAGTCTAAAGTGCTCTACGACCATGCAGTGAGTAGGTAAGCTTTCACCCACCATGACGAAATTAAGGCTAAGTATTGGGATTTTTGGAAACTGATTGTGGTATAAATTCATTGCTACTTTTCTTGCGTTTAAAACCATCATCTAATTGAACTCTCATTAAGTCTCGACAAATATCTTTGATGGTCTCTATTTTATATCTCTTTGCTTGGCCCTCTCTTCGCTGAAGGATCATTTCATGTTCAGGAGAAAAATATTAATTTTACTTGGTTTCAACGTGTTGAGAATTGAGAATGCTCCTTAATTTAGATAAATATCATTTATTTATTTATTGCAACGTCCTTCTTGGCAAAAAAAGACCAATGAGTTGAAATTCTTGGATTCAATTGATGCCAATAATAGCGCAATAGAATACAACTCTTTCAAACGCGAAATGATTGACCGTAAGAACTCCGATTGCGCGTAGCATTCAATTTATGTGATAAATTTTTTCTTCTATTACAGTGAAACTCATAATGAAAAAACTCAGATGTAAGTAAGACTGTTAACGTATGGACACAAAAATGTGCACTGATGATTTTCTGCACATTACGCAATTTATTGCAACTTCACTTAAATCAATTTATAAATCATTTCTTTTTAGGTTATACCCAATTCTAGCTCTCTGACATCTAGTCTCTGAACGCATGCCATCGGCAATTGCTTGGGAGCTTCGCCCCCGTCTAATGGTCCATGAGAAATTCCAATAAGCTTATACATTGGAAAATTTTACATCTCAGCAGCACAAATCACGTTCACCGTATCACGTGTACCGCGTATACTCATCACGTATAGCACGGATACTTCACGTTTACCGTATATGCGTATAACGTGCCACGTATACGCATCACGTATAGCACGTATACTATCACGTTTACCGTATATACTTATCACGTGTATCACATATACATATCACGTTTATCCTGTATACGTATCACGTGTACTCCGTATTCGGATCACGTGTACTCCGTGTACGTATCACGTGTACTCCGTGTACGTATCACGTGTACTCCGTATTCGTATCACGTGTACTCCGTATTCGTATCACGTGTACTCCGTGTACGTATCACGTGTACTCCGTGTACGTATCACGTGTACTCCGTGTACGTATCACGTGTACTCCGTATACGTATCACGTGTACTACTTATATATATCACGCAGCACCTGCGACAATTGTTTACGTCAACATGTTTTTGTCCAGATCATGTGCAATTTTCCCACGTTGTATCACTTCAACTTTCTTCGAATATGATGCAGCATTGATTTATCAAATACGTTTCCTGTAAAATTTATCTGTCTGAAAAGTATTAAGTAGCTGGTCACAAGAATTAATTCGATCTTTTCCATAGTTCGTTTTATCAAGTGTTGTCGATCAATACTAGTAGAATATTCTGCTACTGATAACCGTGTTGAACAGTGCAGAGGTGAATGTAATAAAATACATTCTTATATCTTGAACAATATATCTTGTACAACTTATCTTAAACCTAAAATTGTTTAGCTTCCTGCGTAGCGAGGTCGGACTTTCACTAGTTCCGTGATATCCACGTTAACGGTATTTGTCGTTTCATTGATAGGTGAACCCGGGAGCTTTTCTAGCCCAAGCAGCCCCCCTCGCGAGTCGGGGTCTGGCGGGGGGGCGGAGGAGTGTGCGGTCGGAGGTGGTGACCGCAGCACCAGCGGCGCGCTCGCCAACAAACACCGCCTGCAGCGGCAGATGGCGCAGAGCAGGAAGACCTTCAGACTGCGTCGCAGCAAGCGGGGTCATGGCGAGGTACAGGAGGGGGATTTATGGAAACTTCCTAGTCTGAAAGCTTAATAAAAAAAGAACTAGTAAAGATATCATTACAATATAAATTTAATTGAAAATATATATTACCTGAATATTTGTATCATATAGATTTAAAGGTGGTATCAAAAAATGATGGTCCCATTGTCAATGTATTCAGTTAGTCGATTTTTGAAGTTCCGTTCAACTCGCTGACGCATATTAACGGGTATGTTGCTCTTCAAATGAGGTAATGTCTTTGGACAGTCTTTGTAAACAATTGATTTAAGATAACCCCATAAAAATCGCATGGAGCCAAATCAGGGGATCGGGCCGGCCAAAGGTAACCTCTCAAGGAGATGGGGAATGCGGTGCTCTTTGATTAGCGATAGTGGAACGGCCATTAGAAAAGTACCGGTACGCCTCGACAGAAAACGCACACTTCTCACTTGTCCAATGCATAATGGCAACTAACTTGACGAGGCACAAAACTTCATGACTTTGCCTCTCTTAAGAATACTCCCCGCCTTTTTCCGACAACATCTGGCTGCTTGGCGCGAAATACAAAACAGGAAGGTTCCGTGAATCACCCTGTATTATGTGAAACATTATAATAACAAATCATAATTAAATTATGTTATTATAATATTACAGTAAAAAGCAATTATTATGTTAAATCATCGTAGCTTCATCGAAAACGCTTTCGATGAACATATAATTAAATTTTTGGGGATTTTATTTGATTTTAAATTCTAGGTGAACTTGTCATTTAGGTATATTATCACGTGGTAATAATATGATATATATTATTATTAATCGCTGGAGTAAATTCACATGAAGATTTTATCGAGTGATTCGAGTCCAATGGCCTGGTAATTCATGAATTGAAGATATTTAAATTGACTTAAGGTTATTATACTAATTTTTGGCTCTAAATTTTGTACCGAATTGTTAGTAAGTCATACCGTATAATTTCGTTGTAGCACCTTATCTAATTGCTTCTAAAGTTCAATGAAAAATTTAGAAATTCATCCCACATCTTCGTAGACTGTCAAAAACTAATAACAAAATATGTACAGCAGCATGTTATAGCAATGATGAGCGAAACGTTGCCTTATTTTTAACAGCCTCTCCTTGGAAGAATTTCTTTTCAAACTCGTCGATTTTTTTGTCGTACGAATTATTAGACTCAAGAAGGACAATAACTCCAAATAATTTTTGCCCACATATATCATACTTTTTAACCAGGCTATATATTTGTAAATATTAAATTTACCAAGAACGAATTAATACATACTGTATGTGGAGAAAAAAAACGGTATATATACTCGTAGATGTGAAACTATACGTAGTTATAGCCTTCATAGCGTCATTATATATTTTAGAATTTGAACTTCGAGAAAACGTTCACCTTCAACTATTCGAAAGGACGAATGAGGACTTTACAGAGCGATTGAAATCCAGCTTCGTAAATTTTATCTAACTTTATTCAGATGTTCGTATTCCATATCCGTTAATTAACTTGTAACACAAATTCCACTCAGGAAATGTTCTTTGATTTTTAGAGTCACGGCTCTGAAACTTCCGACATGGAGGCGAGCGAGACCAGCCTCGCCAGCGGGGGGGAAAAAGGCCACACTTCCCCAAAATCCGCCAACGGGTCCACGCCCTCGGCAGAGCCTCAGGAAGGGAAAGCCACGGCTGCTCCTGGTGAAAGTAACTTTATATTTTTCAGTTGACGCAAGCGACACTATATACTATTTATTAGTCCTGAATAAATGTGATGGGCCCTCCTTTACCTCAAACAAAGTATTCTGCTTTTTTACAGCTTTTATGTTATAATTGTTAAATAATTCTGGCACTAGATGTCAATAATGAAATCAAACACAGATTAAATCGGTAGTGCTGGCCGTTTTTTACCTCACCGAGAGGTTATTCTCTCTGTTTAGTTATCAAAGTACTTTCGTATGTTGCTGGAGGAGTTATAGGAGAATTGTCGGGGTTGTTTTTATTAAGTCTGTAAGGGTTGTATAGGAGTTGTAGAATCTGTATGAGTTGTAGGAGTCCAGGGAGTTGTAAGGGTTGTAGGAATTGTGTGCGCTGTAGAGGTTGTATGAGTTTTAAGGGTTGCAGAGGTTATTGGAGTTAGGTGCGAGATACTTCCGAGCTCTCACCAAAACATTTTGTTGTTTTTAAAATAGAAATAGCATTGCGTTTGTGTTGCTGAAAGCTGCCTGAGCTGACTACGTAACAGCTTGTTACGGACCTCAGGTGGTTCATAAAACGATAGATAAAGAAAGTATCATAGATAACTGCTGCTGGACAAGTGCATAATTCACAACCAGGGGCTTGCAATGCACTAAGAAAGGTTTGGGTGCGCCAAGTCTGGTTGTTGAAAGTGATAATAAAGGGATTTTGCCTGTGAAGTTATACTGCTTGTGTGATAGTAAAAGATATTCTGACGAGCCACATTGCACGTGGCTCGCTCAACAGAGTTTGCACCGTTCAACTCGCGTGGCACATATTCGAAGCGATATTTAAACTTTGATCTTCAATGCCCTTAAATGATAATAAGGAACCGTACAGTGCACCGTTTCTTGAGGGGTCAGTTCTGTTATCAGCGGAAACTTATGGTAAACCACAAATTAGCAGAGATCGTATACTGTATTAATACCATGCAGTAAAACGTTAGTGGTCTACGTCCGACGAGGATATAATACATATACCGACGCGACGTGCTGCTATCACAGAGGTTCTGCAGGTACGTTAAGGTTCTAAAGAGTAACGTAGAGGAACACTATAGTGTCGTCGATTTCAAAAAGTTTTGTTGATAGCGTCAAGGAAACAATCGAAACAGAGCGTCTTACTCGGCCCGGATATTGCAATTCCAGGGCCGTTTCTACGATATTCCTTCTAACACAATATGTATGTGCCTATGTAAAATACCCATTATGCTTCCTGAGCTCGAGTGACGAGTCTTACGAAGGAAAACTCCTGGCTCACTTTGGTTCGCTTTTCGACGTTGTACCAGTAAACTTTCTTCTTAGGCTGATTAATAATTTTCTCATTGTAAGTTAAGTTTTGCTTCTTCAAGTTTATAAGTACGAAAATATTTTCTCTCTAGTTGATCTTATTATTTCAGATATGGGAGAACTTGAACATAAACATTACTAAGATTAACCTGACAAATATATTATCGTCAACGATTATGTATTATCATTATTATTTGATACCCACCAGCAGCGTCAGCTTCCCCAGGGGCGGCAGGTGGGAACGGGGGTTCCTCGAGCTCGGGCCCCTCGACCGGCAGCGTGAGAGCCCCACGGTGCGGGAGCCCCAGGGGCGACGCCCCCAAGCGCCCGAGCGTCGGCAGCCTCGTCGGGCCCGCGGCCCTGCCCCCCGGCAAAGAGATGACCGCGCCCCTCCTCAAGAAGGAGAGAACTCCTCTCTTCCTGCCCGGCAGTGGCAGGGGCAAAGTTGCTGTAAGTATTGAAGAATTAACTGTTTTCTAGAATTGAATTACTTATATTTGCCCTTGATTAATCTATTGATTAGTGAGACTTAGTTTTTATTCCACTGCGAAGATATTTATTTTGCTGGAGTTGAAACATCCCAAGTTATTTCACTCGTGTCCCGAGCGACAGGAACTTTATTGTCGCCGTACACTAATACCACCGTTACTACATGAACCTGCCTGAGTGGTATTATGAGTATTAAGTTAGGTCAACTGTTACTAACAAAATCGTTTCATAGAAATTTAATCCGCCGAAAAATTCCTGTTTTCGGAATTGCAGCATGTGTTTGTTAATTAATTAGTCTAGTATCATTCAGAATATTAGGACCGCATAATTAGTGAAAGGTAACTATTTAACCAGGATAACCTATTCATCTTTCTACTCGAATTCGATCTTCAAAATGAAGGAAGTAGCAGCTATAGTTGTGGATGTATTGCATCCTGTGGATGAAATGCATCCAGAGGATAGAGTGCATCCTGTGATTATATTGCATCCCGTGGTTATAATGCATTTTGAGGACATGATGCAGCCTACTGACTAAGTGCATCTTGTGGCATCCCGTGGATAAAGTGCACCCCGTGGATATATTGCATCCCGTGGTTATAAAGCATCCCTAGGATACAATGCATCCCGTGATCATAATGCATGGCGACCCCGCAGACTGGGGCTGTGGGGGGCGACGCAGGAGTTGGCGCAGGTGTCCTGGCTGCGCCGCGGAGCACGTGGGGCGACGAGGGGACGTCGCATCAGGACCTCAGCAAAATAGAGCTGCAGGTCCGTCTTGTTTCTTGTGTACAAAATATTTATTGAAATATTAAGGTGAAGGTAAGTTATTATTAATAAAAATTTATGATATGAGGTACAGTTTGTTCTCGGTTTTAAGACGAGCAAAATTTTTTTTAGATTTAGGTTAAAAGTGATTTGTATTCGAAATCTTGTTGGTGTAGCGCCAAAATTTCTAAGCAGGTCCTTCGTGTTTCCTGACTTAGAACAAATGTTTTCAAGATTTGTGATGAAACAATTAATTAAAAATTGATGTTGGTTCGCCGAAATAAAGACGTAGGTATGCTGCTATGTAGAAATGTATTAACTTCATGGTGCTTTATGGTGAGACCAGGACCATGGTGCTCTATGGTGAGACCTGGACCATGGTGCTTTATGGTGAGACCTGGACCATGGTGCTCCATGGTGAGACCAGGACCATGGTGCTCTATGGTGAGACCTGGACCATGGTGCTTTATGGTGAGACCTGGACCATGGTGCTCTATGGTGAGACCTGGACCATGGTGCTCTATGGTGAGACCTGAACCATGGTGCTCTATGGTGAGACCTGGACCATGGTGCTCTATGGTGAGACCTGGACCGTGGTGCTCTATGGTGAGACCTGGACCGTGGTGCTCTATGGTGAGACCTGGACCATGGTGCTTTATGGTGAGACCTGGACCATGGTGCTCTATGGTGAGACCTGGACCATGATGCTCTATGGTGAGACCTGGACCATGGTGCTCTATGGTGAGACCTGAACCATGGTGCTTTATGGTGAGACCTGAACCATGGTGCTCTATGGTGAGACCTGAACGGCATGAATATTTACTAGCGAGCTTAACCAATATTCAGCTACACGAACTCTATCGAGACTCTAGTAGATGTCTTCTCCTTTGAAACTTCAGGCGTGTGAAACAAACTTTCAACAGTAAGGTGTGTGGAATGTTTATTCAACACCTCATTCTAAAAAATATTATAAATAAAGAAAAATTCGAAGATAGAAACCCACATAATCCAAATTTGAATTCGTTTTTATGAGATTTCGCCAACAAACCTCGCCAGGTTTCCTGTCATCACAAAAAAATTAAAAAAACCTAATTAAATAACCTGCTGATAAGTTAGTATTGGCAACATTATTTTAGTCTTTTAGCTTAAGTATTTGTATTATTAACACCTTCCTATTAAGTACATCAAATGTACTTAACATTAAGCACATATTTCAGGTACGCTCGAGCCACACGCGCTACCCTCTCCTGGGTGTGACCACGAGCGGCATGCGCTCGCCCCCCTCCACCATCACCCTCACGCGGCCCCTGCATCCTCGTAAAGTGTGTATACATTTCTTTTACAAGTTCATACAAACTAAAATAAAAAGCAATGTTGTATAACTTAAGAATTAATAGGAATTTCGTGATTAACTCGCAAGCTTCCCCCACACCCCCGCCAAGTTCGTATGCATTTTTGTTATGTTGTTAAAGCTTCAAACATACGCAAGACAAGCAAACATTATATATCTTGTGAATTGCAATGAAGTTCGTGATTCACTTGTGTTTTAAAAAAAATTTTTGCATAATATTAGGGCTGAGCAAAAATTAAACTTGAATCGTTTTATGGTTCATCTAAAACTGAATCCTCTTCTAAATCCTGAATCACGCTATTCGGATAATTTTTATTTACATCTCGCCGGGACAAACAAAGGGATTTTTTGCCATCTTTACATCAAAAAGTTTATATATACTGATATCCACTTGATATCCTACTCCCTTTTCTCTACTAATTATTTTTTTAGGCCTGAAATAATCATTCATTCATCATTAATCATTAAATGATCATTCAGTGAAATCATTAATCACCAGTCACCTGAATGAATCAATCACCCGAATTAATCATTCACCTGAATGAATTATTCACCTGAATGAATCAATCACCTAAATTAACCATTCACCTTAATTATTCACCAGTCAACTCCCTCTCCATCACCTTCTCCCTCAGCCTTCATTTCTCGTGCCTCTAATTCTTAACTTCAAATGGCCTTAGAGCTCTTACTTAAATTTTCTATTTCTCCTTTTTCAACAGTTTACAGAATATACATATTTCTTCTTTCTCAAAATGTTTAGTAAGGTTATGATTTTAAGGGCTCATTAAGAAATTAATTCCTGAGTTCAAATCTTTACATCTATACTACTTTTTTATTACATAATATTATTGATTTTCTTCTAAAGCGTTTAACATGTTCGGAAGTTTAAAGGGACATTAAGAAGTTTATTCCTCAGTTCAAATCAGAAAAAAAATTACTTTTTCCACGCAGACCAGCGCCGGGTCGCTGGCCGGCCTCCTGCGCAGCGGCCCGTCCTCCTTCGACGGACACACGGAGGCCGGGCGGGCCGCTGTCCTCAGGGTGGACGACAACCAATACCTCCTGACTTCCTTCACTGACCTCGACGAGGAGGACACGCTCATATAGCGCCCTGGTCTACATCTTGTGTAATGACTTATACCAAAAATTTTATGGAAAGTATACATTCATCTACATAAAATTGCATACATTTCATGTATCCGTCTATTGTGATACACCAAACAGGGCTATGATACATTATTTGGTGAGCTGCCATGCCCCGTTACCTCGATAATTATGAATGTCTATGTCGCGGAACTGACATGGTGATACCTGAACCATTATGATTGTTGTTGTTATTCATGGGTCAAATTAGTGGCCGACTATGCTGGCCTGCTATGAAATTATTGATGAGATGAAATGATAGTCATGTGGCTGGGAGACGATTGGCCTCTGAAGGACTCCCGTGCTTACGGTCCAGAATAGGGATCTGTTCCATGGTTTCGCTTCTCAGGCTCCATCAGAGCTTGCGGACTGTATTGTGGTGGAGGTCTGAATCCGCAATAATGATCAATTAAGAGCGTATTTGAGACTGCTGAACGTTTTCTATAGTTTTTTGGGGCTGTTCTTGTACGGGCCATCGCTCATTGGAGCACGGCAGGAAAAGATTAGCGACAGTCCCAGGCGAACAGGTTTTTTATGTGGAACAGGTCCACTGCGCCGTAATGAATGCCATTGCAGTTAAATTGAAGGCAGCAGGGTGAAGGGAAGCAACTCAATATTGCGCTGATCCGGGCAGTACTTTTTTATAGCTTGTGCTTTCAAGCTCTCTTGGCGTGCTTGACGTCTTACTAGCAATGCTCCGAATTTTTCGATCATGACATATATTTTTGTAATTATTCAAACCTACAAATTTCTGAAGAGATTTGCACAGATACTCAACTTAATCATACTTCAGAAGAGAGAGGGTCTTTTCTTCTCAAATCAAACCATTTATGTTTTTTAGAATTACGTAAGAGTTCTAGAGTGGCTTTTAGTCGCTTCATTCTTTGCCAACGCGTGGTAATGGTAAGCTTAAGACTCATAATTCAATGTGATATGGACGAGTAATGACGCTACCCTATAATTATTAACCATGTAATCCCCAATATATTTTTCTATGATCCCCGCATGTCCTTCCTCAAAATAACGTTAAAAGCTCTAAGGGACGCCGAGGTCTTCACGTGAAGCAGTAAGCAGACGCTTGTAAAGGGTTTGGGCTTATCGCACCCGCCGTTTACGAGAGAAATGAATTTCTTTGCTTCTAGTAATAAAATTTGTTGTATTATTTTTTATATTTGCTGTTAAAAATCATTATATGTAAAAGTTTATCAAGCATCGAAGATTATGTCACGTTTATTCCCAGTGAACTTTCTTGCCGTGCATCTTTACTGTCAGAACAAATTGCCGACATAACTAAATACTTCGATGTTGTATTGACCAACAATACATAATTTAAAATAGATCATCCTGTATTCATCAGCTGAGTATTTATATTTATTACGCTTCAACGAGAACTGTATTATTCGAAATCGATCTCTTTGGCCATTCTTGACAGGTTCACTGAAATAATGTCTGCTCGTAGTCAACAAGAAATTACTGGGTCAAGTTGGACCTAATTTAAAGTGGGGAAGAAACATGGGGATGCAATTTCAAGACATTTTCCATCACGCATTTATGCCTATAATTAATAAGTTCTTGCTGTTGGTCTCGTCACTCTAGGTTTAGTGGATCTACATGCAGACGACGAACGTGCGACTGAACCCATTCGTGTTCTCACGCACGAGCCAGTTGTTCGTATAGCGATGGTGTATCTTGATGTATTTGATGTGATATTAAACTATTGTTGTGTTTGCTTGTTGATGTTGTTGCTTATTGTTGACGTTGTTGCAGATCGCTGTCATCCAATTTATATAACTATTCTAATATGTATTGATGTTATGATGGAATAGGTATTAGTAATATCACAGTTCCAGACTTTTATGATGTTGCATTTTCCACCTCGTAAACAAAGACATTTCAGTGCTCGCTTCAGATGTGTTACACTTCAGGCACTGGAATTTACTATATTGTTATTACACTGAAGGGATCAATGCGATCGTTTGTTAGTAAAGAGTAAGTTTGCATTTATGATTACTAGTATTTTATGAGTCATTGACTGGTTAATATAACCATTGCTTCAGTCTTGAACCCGCCGGCGACGTCACTTAGTAGGTCCATCTTAAGGAATTTATTGTGCGTCGAAGAAACGTTGGCAAGGTCTCAATTATGTGTCGTAATTAAACATAGTAATTATGTAGCTATCGCTTATGATTGTTCAATAATATAATTAGGCCTCGTTGTCACGATATTGAAGAATCTTGATCGAGGACATCAAGGTACAAAATAAAAATATTCCTATTTTGATTTGATCCAGCGGGCACAAAGTGCACCGAAATACGTAAGGTAAATTTTATTAATTTATATCTCAATATATAAATATCCCTTAAAATTTATTATTATATCTCAATATATTTGCTGTATATCGAACGATCTAATTTTATAATGTTAATATTTTAATTTTATCCAGAAGGCTAGTAAGATGTTTTAAATTGAGGGGTTAAAGAAAAAGTCGAACTGTGCTCGCGTCAGTGTATGCGTAATTTTGTTCAAATTTTCCCCTGTGGCGTCCTCTGCTGTGCTCATATTTATTACGAGTATTGCTGAACAGTAATATTAATCCAACGACCGCACAAATGTAATTAGCTTGCCTATAGAGCCGTGTGCGTCCGGTGCCGCCATATCAAATTTAAAAAACTGAAATTTCGACGACAATCAAACGAGTCCGGCCTTTTTGGCTGAATGTTTAAAACTATACATTATAAAGCGGTTATTTCTCGTAATAATGTACACAAGTAATGTTTCACAGTATAGCATATGGAAAGGAAAATTTAAAATATTGCATGAATACAATCTTTCGAGCTTCGTTCATTATCATGTTGCGGTAAATGACCATTTTTGCTTGTGCGTTGTAAACTTCCTGGGCGACTCAAATTTAAACTGAATTTCACGGACATTTTGATAATTATTTCTTTGCTATTTACTCTCGCTTGAAAATTTGCCCCGATTTAACCATTCAGAGTGACTGGCGTTTTGTTTAGTTTCTCATTATATCGTGTCAATGGAAGTTGTAAAGCTCGCTGCGTCTTCAGTTCATATGTTAATTTGACGAACTGAACGAACATACGAACTTCAGTCGAAAAGAGCTCAACGAATTTATGATAACAGATAACTTTTTGTGAAAAAATTGAGTGTAATGAGTGTCTTCTGTATTCTACGCTGCATAGGTAGTTGCCGCATTGTTTCAGCGAAGTGTTTTGGGTGTTTGTCAATTGTACGCTTAACCGTGGTGTTGCAAACCGTTTGCTGAATTTATGTTTTTGTTCTATTGATGTTGAAGTCATGTTGATGCTATAAGAAAAAATCGTCGTTGGTTCTTGTTTTATTTACTCCTGGGGGTATTGGCCAAAAAATAACCCGTTTACATTCGATTAAAACAATTTTTTTATCAATATGTCAGAAAGTTGCTCAAAGTACACTCGAGACAAATCACATGATTTTTAATCCGTCAAAGGAGAAAACACATAAGCTCGTAATTTGGTACTGCGTACAGTGGTAGCGACTGTCAGTCATACGTGAAACCCATTAATTTTTTTACATTTTAAGTTTAATTTCCATATGAAAAATATAGAAGTATAGCGTGGCGTATAATATATTATAATATAATAATTTTTAGCATAATTTGTTTACTTGCGTCCTATTCGTTGTGTAGACTTAAATGTGCTGGATTCGGCGCATTAAATATGCGCATAAAAGAACGATATAGTAATTAAGATAAAAAAACAATGATTCAACCTCTTTAAATAAATTATATGCTGTCATATTCAACATTTGGAGTATATAACATATTAAAGCCGCATTCGGATAATCGAACAAAAATCGCTCATGGCAGCCACTCTCCCGTGTTTACGCAAGTGTTTTAATCCAGTCAATTATAACTATGAAAATTTTCTGCAACTTTTTGAACTTATTATAACATTACTTTTGTATTTTTGTGCAATTAGTTCAATTTTGAATCTAATAAATGAATTTTATTTTAATTTTTATATCTTGTTACGGTTGCTGTACCTTAGTCTGATTTGAGTCTCGTGACTGACCTGCAGTAGACGCAATAAGCTGCTGCCAGCAGCTGATTTGTGTGGCTCTCGGGAATCCTAGCTTCTTCGGTGTAAATTCTGTAGAAAATGACGAAGTTGAGCGAGTTTTCAACGATGCCGGAAGACGTTGACAGAGGTATGATTGAAGTTAGAGTTTTCTTACAAATATTATTTCCTGTTTGAATTATTCGAGAAAATATCCCTTTTAACATGAATTTGTTGCATACAACATCATGAACATGAATTGCAAAACAACTTCATACACGGAGCTGGGCAGCGCTACTTTGAAATGTAGCGGCGCTACCGCTACATGCTCCAAATGTAGCGGGCGCTACCGCTACACCCTCTAGATTATAGCGAGCGCTACCGCTACAGTAAAATGAAGCGCTGCTACATTAGCCTCTACAATGGCCAAAATTATTGGAAATCTCTAAATATTTATCATTCTGCCATAAGCCATTGGGATTTACTCATAAACATTTAATGATAATAAAACATTTTCAACACGTATCAATGCAACTTTATTGCAATTGACCTAACCGAACTAGTACGGGTTAGATAGGTACAGTACCTAAATAAAAATTAGTTATTTTTATGTTTTACCTTCCCTAGCTTAGCTACATGGATGACTACTTTAATCTAGGTACCAATCTCAAAAATTATCCTCATATTAGTCATATACGTATATAAAATCAGTCTTTTATTTGTATATATATGTGGATTATTTTTGAGATTGGTAGATTAAAGTAGACATCCATGTAGGGAAGGTGAAACATAAAAATAGTTGCGTAAAAATAACTGTAAGCAAACTGAAACATGAAAAAATACCTGCAAGTGGTAACTGCCTAAACTGGTTACAACTTTACAAGTAACAACTAACATGTTGACACTATAGTAACAGGCTGAGGTTGACAACATTACACCAAAATTTTTTGTACAGTTTATTCTGTAATTTATATTATGTATCATGCTGGTTTTTAAATAATATTTAATACTATTAGGATTAAGTAAAATCTAAAGGCTTTGTCTATAAATGTAGGTATGTAGCGGTAGCGCTGTAACGGCAAAACCTTGTATTGCTACTTAAATATGTAGTGGGCGCTACCGCTACATTGCCTCAAATGTAGTGCCGCTACTGCTACTGAAAATGTAGCAGCCGCTACATGTAGCGACGGTAGCGCGCTACTGCCTACTTCTGTTCATGCAATACCATTCTTCCCTAAGTTCCCTTGGAGGCTCAGCCTTGGTGACAGGGTGAAAAGTGTAGTAATCAATTTTCAACTTGAAAATTGATAGATACTTGGAAATTTCAAGTATCTATTTCAGAAAAGAACCAAAAATTTGAAGGTTTACTTTACAAATCTCTGCAAATTTTAGAACTAATTAGGACTAGGTAGTCTAATCCAATAGTCTAACTGCCCATGTGGCCCTGCCCTGCCTGTGATTTTCTGCCAAAAATATGCCATTATAAAAATCAACTGTTCATTTATCTCGGAAATAAATTTAATAATAAAATAATAATGAATTTAATAATAAATTTAATAATAATTAATAAAAATTTATTCATTATATTATATAAGATATGTACATTATTACTATTGGAATTTCAGCTACTTGTGTATCCCTGATGGCTTACTAGGTCCCATAAATTGTTCTACAGTCATTAAGGGCCTATCACAATGACATGAAATAAAAAAAAGTTGCCACCAGATATCTCCATAATGTCAAAATTCAAGAGTTATGCATGCTATTTTTTTCTGAATTTTTGAGTGCTGTTTTAGCTGTTTTCCTGGTCATTGATAGAAAAATAAACTCTAAAAATTGTTTGAGGTTTTTTCATGTTAGCCCTACCTAAATTTTATCTTTACATTTAATTTCAACCTTAGTTTTAATTTAACATGTTAATTCAAGATGTGTTTATTTTAATTTTGCATAATTTTGCTTCCTAGTTGAAAACAACTTGCAATAGGAGCTTGACAATTTATGGGCATTGGCAATGGTTGAAGCCTCAAAGTTTGGTATAAATCTCAAAGTACTAAGTCCATTTCTTCAAAAGTTATTAGGAAAAACGGAAAATTGTTTCTTTAAAGGCTTGTGCCACAAGTGCATATAAAAATTTATATCAGTTATGGAAAACGTGTTCTGTTCCAATTTGTTCCTTGAAAATTGTACAGAAAGAGGCCATGTTCCTATCAACTGATATGGATAGAATTATTAAAAATAATATATTCTCTAGGAAAGGTTTGCTCTATTTGAGTCTTTTACCCTATTTTTCTTTAGACTTTTAATGGACTGAATACATTTGGTTCACTCTTTTCTTGATTTATTTCAATATTTATTACAAGGATCAGCTATTGCTTTAAGTCAACTTGTTTTTAAAATTCATTTTAACATTGATTTCCTATGTTGTCAGGCTCAGCGGGCGCTACAAGCCTGCTGGCTCAGCGAGCCAATGAGGTCCTGAAAGAGAAAATCAACTGGCCTTCATATCTACAGTTAGTAGTTTAATTAGCTGGTTATTGCTTTAATAATTTTAATTTTCCAATATTTTCATCGGTTGAAATTTTTGAAACTCTTGCATAAGGATTGTTCTAAATTAAGCTGGGTTTTTACTTTTTATGGGCAAAAATTATTTGTTGTCATAAAACTGTTGTGTTATCCATATTGTGACTGATTTGACAGGGTACACTAAGTCTCGGCTCCAACCTGATCTGAGTATTAAATGTACAAATGAGCTTTCAAAATCTTGAAAATGAGCTAAAATGTATTCTAAAATCTTTACAATGTTAGGACTGGAAGTAAACCTCAAAATGGTCATGAATATTTCTTATGCTCTACAACTGCACACATTTCTGTAAATTACATTGACACTTGTTTTTTCCTTTCCATTAGCTTAATTTATGTCCAAAATTATACACTTCATAATATATATCTCATTTGAAGATTTTTTATTATGTTCAACTTTCAGTACGTATGGGTAGAACCTGCTATAGCAGAATTAATTTTGTACAGTTTTACTATATATATTATTCCTTCCTAAAAACCTTAACTCATACAATACAGTAAGGGTTCCCAATTCTAGGTTACATTTTTATCAGTTCAACATCACAAAATTTTCTCATCTGCAGGTCCCAGATGATGAGCCAGGAGGACTTTGAAGTGATGAACAAACTGGAAAGTCGTGGATCAGCGAGGGAAACACTGCTTCTGCAGCAACGTCCTCTTGTGGCTAAAACCTTCATTTCTCTGCTGTCTCATGTCAGCAAGGATAGCACCATCCAGTACATCTTGGTGCTACTTGACGAGTTGATCTCCGTGAGGAATATTTAATATTCTATGAAAATGTACTTAATTTAAGGTTGCAGCCTGCATGGAACATTTCTTTCTCTTGTTTAAGTGTTCCTTCAATGACGAAGACTTGACGAGTTAATCTCCGTGAGAAATATTTAATCTTCTATGAAAATGTACTTAAATTAAGGTTGCAGCCTGCATGGAACATTTCTTTCACTTGTTCAAGTGTTCCTTCAATGACAAAGACCTGTTTGTTATATTTTTATATGTAATTATCTTGCTACCTGACTTAAAAGACCTGTATACCTGACCTTTAAATGTAAGATGAATAATTTAACCTCTGACCATAATTTGTGCTTAATTCAGTTTGTAGCTTCATTCCTGCGTAGTCATAAATTAACTCTTGTTTGTCATGTCATGAATATTTAATTAACAAAGCCCCTAAACAAACCAAGCTCTTTGGATTGACCATTTTACTTTGATTATTTTCACTAAAGCTTCATTGATTACCTTGTTATTCATATAAAAAGACTACAAATAACTTAAGTGCAAAGATTAAAATCTTATTTATGCCACTTATGAGTAGAATTATTCTATGAGTAGGTAGCTATTTCAAACTTTCGTCAGCCATGAAAGAAATACGGTCAAATGACACGATTTCGATCTTCTGTGAACAAGGCACGAAAAGGAAAAGAATCGGCGACAGGCCACATCTGGCCTACACGTCAGCGCCGAGATCAATATGTTATGTTATGTTATGTGTTCAGGAAGATCCTTCTCGTCTGGACATGTTCCGAGAGAACGCTCGCAAGCACAAGGGGGAGAACCAATGGACTGCTTTCCTCAACTTGCTGACTCGTCCTGACCCCTTCACCACCCACATGATCGCCAGGATCCTCTCCAAGATGTGCTGCTGGGGCACTGAGCGCATGGAAGGCTCCGACCTCACCTTCTACCTCACCTGGCTCAAGGATCAGCTCAGGACCACGGTGAGGAATTTATGCCAAGTAATTAGTACTGAATATATAATGTTTAATCTTTATAGTGAGATTTGTATTGTATAGGATAAATGTAAAATATTTAGGCAGTATTGAAAGGCTTCAAGCAATATGAGGAATTTTTGCCAAGTAATTAGTTCTGAATATATAATGCTCAATCTTTATAGTGAGATTTGTATTGTATAGGATAAATGTAAAATATTTAGGCAGTATTGAAAGGCTTCAAGCAATATAAATAAAGTACAACTACAATTACGTACTTCGAAGTATGGATTCTATTCGTGTGATGTTATGGTGATGTCAGAGTTTGCTTCTCTAGAATTCTCGGCTAATTGTCTGTCTATTGAATCCGTTGAAAGAAAATTTACTATGTACATATTTTTTTATTCAACTTAGCACTTAATTTTTCAACGTGTTTGTGAACTAAACATTATTGCCTTCATTATATTCATTGTTGAAAGCTTTCAAAGTTGATCTTATAAAATATATAAGAATGAGGCTCAATAAATGGCTTCAACTACTTATCTCCAGGTGAGAGAAGCTTTATTTTATTTAGATGTTTTAGGAATTTTCATGCATATAGACATGCATTTCTCGTCATTTAGCTTTAAAAGGCTTTAGTGTGTTGTTTTCTCCTGAAATATTTCTTAGAAAATGGAAACTCAGTAGCTTCATCCTCGATTTTTTGTTTGTTCAATTCAATTGTAGTTAGTACACTCCTGAGGGAAGATTCAGAAATTAATTTTATTTAGTTTAGATCTGATCATATGTCGTTACTTTTCATAAATTAGCTTTTTTATTAATCACTTCTTTGAATTTCTTATTAGTGTTTAAAGCCCAACAATGGTCAGCAATTATTTTGAATAAAATTTATTGTTGCTATGATCTGGCAGTGCGTATTTTCTATTCCATAAAGTTTCTGCTCAAAATTTGTGGAAAGAAAACTGTTACTTATGAAAGGCTATTGATGGAAGGAGGCAGAAAAACGAACTAATAACTTAAATCAGTTGTTATAAATAACGAACGAATAACTTACATCAGTTGTTTTTAATATTTACTGCTCGTGTTCACACTTCAACTTGGAACTTTAGGCCGTCTGTCACATCTCTTCCTGCTTGCTTGTAAAATATGCGCTGCGACTTAGATTTATAGTGCAAAATCTCTCCTCCCTTCTCTGTGATATGAAATAGTATTGTTATCATTTGTAGCTGCACATTAACTGCTTCTGCCTGTGATAGTTGAACATACGTGCTTTTATTGATTTAATTCAAACTTTGGTGTATTATAGATCCGCAGATCCATCATGAATTATTTTAGAGTTTAGTGAAACACAACCAGATGGATAAAGAAATAAATTACACTACATGGAATAAACAATTTTTAGATTATGTTTTAGCCTATGTCATTGTGAGTCAACTATGTATCATTATTTGAATTCTTGAAGATCTTGAAATTGTTGGATTTTCAGTTCTCCTTCTCTCTTTCAGGGGACATTTTATTCATTTCAACTGATAAACTGACTGTTGTGAGCTATAATTTATCTTGAGTTGGAATAATCTATTATATGTTTTTTATTTGTTCGTGTTGCTCCAATAACGAAGAAGCAATATTAGTCTCCCATACACATAGTTTGATTAGTTATGAACTGCAGTGTATAAAAAATATGCATCTTCTTTTGACGTGCTTTGCCCTATGCATAGTAGACTCCACATGTTTGGATGTTTATTGTAGCACATGTATAGGTTACTTCCAGAACCATGTTGTGTATGTAGGATGCACGACTTACTAGATAGCTGACTAGTAGCTTCTAGAACGCGAGTCCAGCGTGACTTTGGATTTTTTATGTTAGGATGATTCCATTTTATCCTCAACAGTTCCGCACTGTCAAATTTATAATAGTCAAATCTTACAAACATGATTCCGTTTTCTAGAAGCAAAATAGGCTAGTTGTTTATGTGGAAAAAATAATGTCTAATGTAAAATTTCTATTCTTTTGTGTTGGCTCACCCATATTATAGCGACTCCAAATTTGACTCATTCATGATTTTTTTTTATTTTAAATACTTTAATTCAATTTTACTTCTGAAACAGTTGCCAAAATTTTACCTGGATTTATTATGGATTAAAAAGTTCAAAATTTATCTATCTGTTTACGATTTTATCTGTCATTGCGATTTTACCCAGATTTTTTATTGCTAGTTTATTGCTGCTGCTCTCTTTATTATCCTCTGCTCTGCTGCATCATTTCTTCACACTCGCTATTCCCCCTGTAATTTTTATTCATGATATTTCCACTAATATTCCAATTTTTTTGATGGTCCTTTGTTTATTGCAGTTCTCTAGCCTTCTTATAAAGTTACTTCTCTATTCATAATAACAAGTTTAACTTCGTACTGGTTTGGATTAAGTTCTCTAATTTTGTTTAGTCAAGATTGTGCAGTTTTATGCTAGATTTTGTGTTACAGATTTAATTTTACTTTAATTTCGACTCACTACCGACGATGCCACCTGCTGGTGTTGAGCTTGGTTATAACAAACCATGAATTACTGACATTCTACCATGTCCCACCCTCCCTTAGTTCACTAACATCTGGTCGTTACCGGTGCATAATTTCCCTTTTTATTTGCCGCCGAGTCCTGGTCACGCTGGAAGTTCCTAAGCGTTTTTTTGTCCCACAACCCCGCCTAATTTAGCCTGCATTGCATGTTCCTCCCATCCTTGGTAGCCGGAGCGCGATGCGGACAAAAAGTCCCGCGATGCGGACAAAAAGTCCAAAACCACAACGCCCGCGAGGTCGTCTTCCTACCGCCCGCCCCCCGACGTAAGTTTTCCTGGCCTCAGAGGTGGGTACCCTGCTTGCATGGGCCTATACTTTCAAAAAAAGTTAAGAGATCGTACGTTCATCTGCCAATCATTGACGGCCTTTCAAGTTAAATCTACCAATCATAGACAAGAAAATAAAGCGTAAGTACTTACGTTCACTTAGCGAGTTTGGAAAGTATGGCCCATGGTCTAAAAGCTTGAACCGAATTTACGGCGCTATGTGAAATGTCCTCTCAATTGCATGAATTAAACATCAACTACAATTATTTTTTGTTAGTCGTGTGGTAAGGAAAATTAATTCCATAGTCAAAGTTTTCGATGATGGAGTAAAAGAACAGTTTGTGTTTATGGTTTGTGCTTCAACAGTTCACTTAGTGGCAGTGGCATCATTAGGCTTACTTTTGGTTGACTTTCAGAAGGAAATGTTGAGGAATTTAATATAATGTGGCCTGAATAGAAGTTAAAATATAATTATACAACCAGCGATTATTAAATTGAATTTGATCATAAATCTTGAGGATTTAGACCACCTCTCACTTTCCTTGAAGCCTAATTACGCCGCTGCTTAAATGAATGAAAATCTCATCCTGAATCAATTCCCCACAAATTATATGTGAAATAAATGACTGCTGTCACCCGCCAAATAGTTAGCGTGAAATCCTGCTCAATCGTCAGTCGAAAACTATTAACTAGTCGCTGGTTACTGACCAAATTATTGGTAAGTCTTGCATGTATCGTTCCTTAAATCCCAATTAGAAGTTTTCGATTTCAAAATATCTGAATCATTGCTGGTGTTGATTGAAAATTTCTGTATCAACAGCAATGAATTCTGACTTGCCGCTCTTATCTTACGATCCCTGATGGTGACCTGCTCCATTAACCTATGATTAATAGAAAACACATTCTTGAGAAGAGTTGCTTAACAAGGATCGCAGAAGGTAAGATATAGGTAGTTTCCTTAGTTTAATTGTTACATTGATATTTCTATGGTAATTATTTAATGTTTTATTGCTCAGGGCAACGAGTACGTGCAATGCGTGTGCCGCTGCCTGCAGATGTTGCTGCGCATCGACCCCTACAGAGACGCCTTCTTCAAGCTGGATGGCGTCGTAACCATTGTACAGGTGCTGTATCTTTCTGAAATATATCAACTACCGTAACTCTTTAACATCTTCTCAAGGTGATTTGTCTTCCCAAAATACTTCAACTGCGGGATCATTTCTGCTCTGTTCAGACTATGATTATGTCCATCAGTTATGCCTCATTAGTTCTATTTTTCAACAGGTTCTGGGATCAGGAAAACACAACTTCCAAATTCAATACCAACTGACCTTCTGCCTGTGGGTGCTCACTTTCAACCATGAGATCGCGGAGAAGATGAACAAGTAAGTTTCCTGGCTTCTTCTTGTCGGGGAATTTTATCTCTTGAAAAAAAGCGTGCTTCAGATTTGACTGAAATTTTTTTGCGTTCTAACATAAAAACTAGTTAACCCATTCCCTCTAAGAAAAAAAGTTTTTGGATTGACTTGAAATCGATAATATTTAGTCTTTAGGATGTATATAGAATGTTTTTTTATTGTGAAACAAATTATTTACCTTTATCATATGACATACGAGCTACAAGGAAGATGCGAGTACAAAATATATCTTATTCAGTTTAGAATTAATTATTGAGTTGATAACAAATTTTGTCAGGTATTTCTTCCCAATGAGGCTTAATTTCATTTTAATCGAGTAAAATACCATATCACTGAAAGAAATCATTGCAAATGATAAGGAGGAAAGCAATGCACTCCTAAGTCAACGCTGCATATGCAGCATTTTATTCTCATTTGCTTTCTGATCTATACCAAAAGGCTCCCTCAAGCTATTTTATATCGCTAAATTGTGTACCAAAATCGTAAATACTTATCTTTTGTCACCTTTTACACTCGTGTTTCATAAATTTGCTTTTCATTTGTTGTATGAGAGGCCGCGAGGCCACAATCTCCAATTTATGCTCGATTTATCTACATTAACAGCCGTGCAATGCAACCACTTCATAATGTTATCAAATCTGTCTTATCTCATAAAAACATCTGCAGACTTCGACCAATTTATTGCCTTACTAGAAAGAAGATTATACACTCTCAATAACAATATTAAAATGATTACTCGTAATTTGTATATATCCATATTCATATGAGGCCAATTTCTATTTATTGAGCACTCAGTCACTTCATCACTTACCGTAATTGCCGCAAAATGATCACTTCGTTCGCAAACAATTCAACAAGCTCTTCTGGGGAATACAACGAATATGCGGTATAATTTACTTTTGCCTTAATAATAAAACGTCTTAGTAATGCGTATTAAAATGACGGGCTTTTCTGTATTCACCTTGTTTGTTTTTATTTAATGTTCTAAGATTTCATTCAGAGAGCGAGATTCGTAAAATAGTCACATGAAGATATTTGTACTCGAATCCTTCTAGCGGTAGCATACGGTACCACCACAGTACATAGCACGATATTAAATTCAGCATAGCGTGTGAGATTCGTGTGAATAATTTCAGTTAACTACATCAAACTTTACTTACATAACTATTACTTTAAATTTACCTCTATTACCAGGCAACATTGGAGCCTGGACTTGGTAGAAGGCTTGCATGTATGGTAAACTAGTTTTCACGCAGCCCTTTTCAATTGAGAAAATTTTATTTACGAGTATGTACCGCTAAGAGGATGGCGGGACAGCTTTATTTATGGTACCGCTAGGAGGGAATGCGTTAATCACTCGTCTGCCCGGTTGCTCGAGACGTTTGCTTGGATTGATATTGATTGCTTTATGCAGGTATGGAGTTATTCCAACTCTGGGTGACATTTTGTCCGAAAGCGTCAAGGAAAAGGTGACTCGCATCACGCTCGCTGTGTTCCGCAACCTCATTGAGAAACCACAGGACAGCATCATCTCTCGCGACAACTGCATCCAGATGGTGCAGTGCAAGGTGAACCATCTATACGGTGAAGTAAAATGCAAGCCATCCTTGTGGATAATTTCTCTGCAAGGCATCCTTATGATTACCTATCATGAATGCAATCATCAAAACAGGAACTGTGCTCTTGTATCGCTGTACTTTAGTAAAAGTTTAACTTGGTTCTGTTACTCATAATGTACCCAAATTGCGCGCTTCCGTTTAATTTGTCAATTATTTCAATTTATTTCTGTACTAGTTACTCGTCGATATTGTAGGCCGTTTGCCTACACAACAATAATGCTATTTAAACCAATTATTTTTTGCCTAGGTTTTGAAGCAGCTTGAAATCTTGGCCCAACACAAGTTCGACGATGAAGACATTACTGCTGACATTGAGTTTCTCAACGACCGTCTGCAAACCTCAATCCAGGATTTGAGGTTAGTTTTTAGTAGTCAACTTCTCGGCAAGTAGCAAGAGTTCTTCATTAACAAACTTTCCTTTCATTTTAATTTATGAATTATACCTTAAGATAAGTAAAAACTATAATTATAGAACGTGCCACTTATTCTATGGTGTAAATGTAGTATGAACGTGGTAACAATTTATCGAGTGAGTTATCTTCAATTGATACAACATTGCCTCGTGAATTAATATATAACAACAAATTTCCAGTTTTCGACTCGTGTTGGAGCAATTTTACAAGGCACGGTCTAGCAGGAACACAGTTTATCTCATTACTTCAATTAATATTACTGAGAGTTCTAGGTTTTTATTGATTTAATGTAATAGTAAATTCATAAATCAAAGGATTAACGAGGCTCTTTGAAAATGAATCGGATGAAAAATAAAGCTACCGCATTTGACAGAAACAAAGCTTGCCATCGAGCTAAAAAAATTGAAAAAATCATCACTACTTGAAATAAGTTAGATCCTTTATGTTGACCTTAATAAATTATCAGAAATGGACAACTTTGTTCAGGATAATGCACACATAGTTATTTTTCAGCGTTGTGGTCATGTTTTCAGAAACGATTCGTAAATGTATGCAAAGTTATTACCGTAAACATTGCGTGTGTAATTGCTTTTTTTTAGCTCATTTGAGGAGTACTGCTCGGAGGTGAAGTCAGGCCGCATGGAATGGTCACCGGTGCACAAGAGTGAGAAGTTCTGGCGTGAGAACTGCCACCGCCTCAACGAGAAGAACTACGAGCTCCTCAAGATCCTCATCCAACTGATGGAGACAAGCACCGACCCCCTCGTGCTGTCAGTGGCTTGTCATGATATCGGCCAATACTCTCGGCACTACGCCGCGGGCAAAAAGTTAGTATCCATGCTTGGAGTCTTCTCGATGAAGGCGCATAACTCAATCGATGTTCAGAACTAGCGGGATCTCGAATACCATGTACTAGCTATTGATATGCTAAATTAATTATTCAGATAAAATTTTCCTCAAATTCTTCCAAAATTGTCAATATAATGTGGTATAATATTACGGTACATTAGGTTTATGCACGATGGGCACCTGTAAGAGAATAAAAAATTTTTAGTGCTAGAACGAATGTACGCCTTATCTCTAATGCAAGGGCGCGGTATTCAAGAATTGTGTGATATAAGTAAAGAAAACTCCCATTTGAATTTAAACATTTCTATTACGCAAAAGATGTTTTGACGAGAGACTTCTTAGAAAGAAACGCGCCGGTGAATGTTAGGCGCTAATGTATTGGTATGTACAGGGTGTTAGAGCAGCTGGACGGCAAGCAGTGCGTGATGGCTCATCTCTCACACAGCGACCCTAATGTTCGTTACGAGGCGCTCCTCGCTGTGCAGAAGCTCATGGTTCACAATTGGTGAGTTGGGAGACTTTACAAGGCAATTGCGTATAATTTATATCCTGGAGGACTCTCTTCAGTGTGTTTTTTGCTCACAAGTTTATTCGTTAGTATTACATATGCGAAGTTTATTTTTATAGCATTTTTTTTCTGACCTGCTGAACTATTCGCAATTCTTTTAATTGCAATAAAGTGATAAAGTGAATATGCAAGTAAGAATCCTGTATGGTGACCCCCAGCTATTATGGTCGACTAATTTAGTATTGAAGGATCAGGCCATCATACGCCGAAAGGCATAAATTTTTTGTTGAACTTGAGACCATCGCCTGCGGTCAAGTTAGGTTCCTATCTGCCCCCATGAATTTAGAGTACTGCCTGTTTAAGTTTGATTTTTGTGAAGAATTCGCATAGCGTTCCAAGAATTGGTAACGAGAAGTTATACTTTCCTACGATTTCTCGGTTTAGTAAAATGTACTGTCAGCTTAAGATTTCATTGGTCCGTGTCTATTAGTACGATTTAGATCTACTGTAGAACAATTTTTAAGTGAGATTCTGAAGATTTTTAATTTTTCCTTTTTGGATTCTACTAAATCCTAAGAGTAATTTGATGATTGAATATCACGAAATTTTGGTGAATCATCTTTGGAACGGGGCGAATAAGTTAATGATGCATTTTGTGAAACGTGTGTCAAGGCGGTGCAAAAAATTATTACAATGGGAAATTTTGCCTAGAACCAATCAATATATCAATTTGCCTTTTAACCCCTAAGCTTAATACGGAAGTCGCCAAAAATTCTGTGAAATGAAACAACTTTTTGTTTCAGGGAGTATCTCGGCAAACAAATCGAGAAGGAGAGTGAAAAACCGTAAACAGGCGCCCGATAACTTGCTACGAGCGCACCATCAAAGGAGGACGAGGCACTGGACTCTTCAATAAATTTTTAGTCTACCGCGTTTGAACGTAGTAATACGGTATCATTGAAAGACACATTCCGTGAATTATATGTTTTGTAGTGTTTACAAGTCTGCGAGGTGTGAACCAAGACAGGTTTTAATAGTCAGCTTCGTTCGTGGAATGCAGTGCATCGTGTAGCCACTTCTGTTTTGCAGTCGCTGACCTTAGATGCGATTGAATTTGTGTCCGTCGTTTGAAATGCTGCACATGTTTAAGATCGTGCCAACTGCGAAACGAGTAAATATAACGATTTTCAGTGCTCAAAGCTTCAAAATCTATTCCATTGGTCGGGAACCAGCAATGCTTGGCGAAAAATTTACAAGTTATGCGGGCTGGTATTGTCGGCATGCCCGGGAGGGGATATTTATCCCCGCATAAGAGAAGATAACTACTTGTTGACCCAAGGCCGCACCTTTTTGTTCATCAGCATTCTAATTATTCATCAAGCGAAAACTCGCAAACCGTAGCTGCATGACCGAAAAATAGAGTATATGTAATTATTCCTTGCGGACGTTTTTTGGGATATCATTTTCTTTTCACCAAAATTGTTTCCACTAGAAAAACCCTTTCAACATGCTTTAAGTGCATGCGTAGTAATTTATTTGTAATATATGTTACATAAAAAATATATCTTAATATGGTGCAATCATTGTTTCATCCTCCGTTCTGCCGTTAAGGAATGAAGTAAAGGCTTTAATTATTTTCAATGATTTTCTTACACAAGTTAAAGCACTATTAATCAGAACTTATGATACTCGGCATTAAATGAATATCACAAAATGTAAGACATTCCTCTACACAGCTCCCGTAGAACTATGTTAATTTTTATTCCTGGTCACTATTATTTAAATTTTCAATAAGTTTAATTCAGAGGTCATAATCAGATCGAAGGTGACTAACGCAATGTTTACATCACACGTGCCGAAGGTGACACTCCACACGAATGCTTCAAGAAAAAAAATATTCTTCATTCCTTCCTTTGGTTTCCCATCAGCGTCTCCGTAGAATACTCTACAATAATTAACTAACGACATCCCATCATCGTAACTTCAAACTCCAAGTTAGCTTGAGGAGGAATCTCAGGCGGCGCACCCTTCTTCCCGTACCTAAACAATAATATTTGCATCAGACATTGTACAGAATCGATAAATCAAAGAAACTCCTAGTTGCAAAACATGAATCACTGACTTGACTTTCATTCATACTAATGGCAGTAGGACAGCAAAGTGCGATCATTTCTCGTAATAAACATTTCTCATCACATTATAATGAAATTATAGTCCTATATTGATGTTACTTTAATAATCTAAATGTTATCACTCACGCCATGGCGCTGGGGATCGAGAGCTTCCTCTTGCCGCCAACTTTCATGCCGATAAGCCCGACATCCCAACCCTGGATGACTTCTCCCCGTCCCAGAACAAACTTGAGAGGTGTGCCGGACAGCTGCGAGTCGAAGATCTTGTTGTTGCTCTTCAAGCGGCCCACATAGTACATGGACACCTGCAAGGATAGTTCAGGTTCAACAACGCTCAGGGACTTTGGTTTTTCGTGAGTTTAATAAATATAACATTTGAAATGTTTAAATTAGCCTGCTTTAAGGCATTGGCAGAATAAAATCTTACCAATTCACTTTTCAGAATCCTAAGAAATGCACAATTGTCGGAAATGAATACTCTATGTATCAAAGTAAATTAAAAAAGTCCTACTTCAAAATTCAATAAGACAACAGCAGTTATCACAAACATACATAATAGAACTAAAACACTCACATTGGAGCCTTTCCTGGCAGCTTCTCCAGTTCCCACAGTAATGTCCTCGATCATCACGCCGCCAGAGCGCATTTGTTCTGAAGTGAAGAAGTGTTAGGCGCTATAATATTACGACAGCCATCACGTAGCCTTAACTTGTATTCCACCAACTTAATAAACGTCAACCTTAACCTACACAACACTAACTTGACTAACGCATATAAACCGAAGTGTATTTAAGGAAACTACCGATCAATGACAGAGGTCATAATTATTACTCGATTGATAAACCACAGATCGCATTAAGATGCCACAAATTTAAGATCGTCAAGTTTAACTACATGCATTTGTATGTTCAAAACTATCACTGGACAATAAACTAGGCTCGACTCTGCTTACTGGACACTCACTTTTGTTGGGTGTAGCGTCATCCTGAAGGAAAACACGAAAGTTAGTTAGCAAAATACTCAACAATTAAGCTACCATACACAGAAATAATGCTTACGTATAAAGGAAAATATTGTCTCCAGTGTAATTGGTAATAATGAACAATTTTTAATCAGCTGTGTAATTTTCTAAAAAAGAGATCGTCGATTTTTTACACGCCGTGCTAGTTGTTTTTTAGGAGTTACTTTTTGAATGGAAGACTAGTTTCTAAACGCTCTATAGCACAATGTATATTCATTGAACGAGTTGTATATTGTAATGTATGTATAAATAAGATTCAATGTATATTCATTGATGTACATTATTTGAAGTTTCTAGCTGTAAATGCTTCACCCCCAAAGAGATAAATAGTGATCTAACTTGTACCACAGCTCATTTCATGAATACCAGTTTGGGACTACTCACTGCGGTTGCTTTGGGAGTTTCTTTCTGAGATTCCTTGTGTTGTTTCTTCTTCTCGGATTTTGGCGTCTTGGCAAGCACGTCTTCAGTTTTCCCCACTTTAGCTGCCTTGGCTTTGTTTTCCTTTGGAGACTTGTCCTTGGACGGGGTCTTTGTTCCAGTAACAGCCTTGTCATCTTTAGTGGGGCTCTTCTTAACGGGAGTTTTCTTCTTGTCTTTGTTGGCATTCTTTACAGCTTCGAGCTGTAAAGCTTTGAGAGTTCCATTGGCAACTGAAGAGACATCTTTCTTCTTCTGCTTCTGATTTTCCGATACTCCATTCATCTTTGACTTGATTTCTGCAATAGTTCACATAATTAATATGTTATCGTAGTATTATTTTTAAGAGTGACCCATCACAAGAGAAATACAGATTCTACACGAATGATATTGGAGATTAGTTACCAAAAATTAAGGAAATTGAAATGCACCTAGAGCAACAATTGGCAAATGATGACAAACACGAAAAAATTCAACAGGCACGGATTGACATCATTCCAACACACTTGCTGATAACAAATGGAAGTAGTTTCCGAAAACTGCATTACCTCGAGCTTAAAACCACACTAATCACGAAAAAATTACTCTTGATATTAAGAATTAAATATTCTTTTGGCGTTTTAGTCAGCTGCGATATGCAGAAAAAAATTAATCACAACGGGTATATTGCAGTTCAGTCAGGATCGCTCAACGATTCGGTGGGGGCACGATACTCCATATTCTTCTCTCACCACTTGTAAAGCTCATTTCAAAATTGCGCTCTTTTCAACATTTTATTCAATGCAAAGAATATTTTCTATTTCAACTGCTTTTAGTGGAGACGCAGATTCAGAATATTTCCTTTTAGCAAGTCACTAAAAAATTATCGGTAGTTTCCGATATATTTTTAACATTTAAATTTATTGCAGTAATTACGGAACTTAAGCCAAACCTATCTTAGATAAAAATAAATATCTATCAATATCATTGATTTGACGGTAAGTAAAACCTAGGTATTTTTACCAGAAGCACAGCAAAAGAACTGGGCTGCCCACGTTGAACGATCATCTCGCCTTCAAGAATAGTGTGAATATTGCATGTCGTTAGGCTATAACAATGGGACTCAAGCTTTGAGACAGGTAAATGACCAACCTTTTACGATCTCCTCCTCTTCGGCGTCTTCGGAATCATCATCCTCGTCTTCCTCCTCATCATCATCATCATCGTCTTCCTCATCGTCATCCTCGTCATCATCATCGGAGTCGAGAGTGTCATCATCGAGCTCCTCTTCTTCGCCAAGCAGCTCCTCCCCCATGCTGCTCAAGTCCCCTGTTGGGTTGTATGAGTCGTCATCCTCGTCGTCCTCAGACATGAACGATTCGCCGTTCAGGGCTGCAACAATGGAAGCTTCAGAAATCAGTCAAGTCACTGCACTTGAGAATGGTTCTTCTTTATTAGAACACGGATATTTACGCAGTTTCAACTCAAGCACACGCTATAAAGAAATATTAATAACAAAGTTTTAGTAACAAAAGAAGCATGATGGCAACAACATGTAAACTGGGGTCCATAAGCGAACTTTCTTGTGCCAAATACTGATAATAGTTTTCAACTAGCGGCTCTCATTGAAGAAGGGAAGAAAAAAGCAGTATTAGCAACAAGAAAAGAGCACGGAACACGCGACAGAAAGCAAGTTTAAAAGAGTCCTACAAACAGAAATGAAGCCACGACAGAGATGTGATATGAGCTTTACGTCAGACTGCACAAGAAAAATGACATTATTAGAAACAAATCCACATAACGTTCACGCTTATACGAGACAAGTGCAATGCTTAGAAACCCTTCCAAATAAATTAACAGTTCTCAGAACTTGTATACATAAGTTACAAAAACAAAACAAAAAATTAAAAATAAATATCCACTAGGAAATAATGATCGCATCAAGCACTTTTGTCTAACTATCAATAGTTACATTTCATGCCTCAAGCAACTAAGAAAGATACAAAAAAGAAGTCTGTTGTTTAAATGCCCAGGTAAACCAGAAGCATGAACAGCAATACATAACAATGTTTGCAATTGCAAACCTAATAAATGCTTGCTAAAAATCTTTTGAAAGAAGAACTCACTGAATCGTTGAATCAATGAAAATTGACTGAAATGTAAGACTGGAAATAAAAACTTACAAACTGCTTTTAAATTGAACTAGAATTGGAGGAGATGAAGACATTGGCAGAAAACTTGGCGTATATTGAGAACTGTGTAGCCTTATGCAAGTAACATTATGTTAATCGTTAAGAAGCAAAATAATATACATGCAGGTACCTGGGGAAATTAGGTCATGTCACTTACTGAGGCCTTTTGCTGAGCCATTGGCAAGCTTGGCAGATTTGGCTGGACGTTTAAATTTGTCGGCAACCTCAAGTTTCCTCTTCTTGCGGCCAGAGACCAGTTCAGGCGCTGAAAATATAAATAAATTCAACAGAGAATCTGGATGAACAGATCCAAAACAAATTTTGAAGGACTCATTCACGCTCTTTAGGGTTATTAATTCAGTTCCTTAGACTGAATGCAGAACATAACTAAAGATTTGACTTGACTCGTTAGAAATGATTATCAAGATGGAGCTAAAACTTCAGACCCAAATAATGTTCTGAGATATAAACGATACATAAAACAGCAAACGAGATATTGAAATAGTAATTTTTCACATGCTTTATAATGAACGATCACTATATGCCTTTATGCGATGCCGCAACTGATACATAAGCAAGTAATACATAAGCAGATGTTGAAAATTAGTTGAAAAAATGCATACTAAACATTTTTGACATTACGCTCCTAAAATTATCAGGTTAAGATTTGAACCCTTCTTGGGCTTCATTGGTAGAACTCTATCTACATTCTACACTAAGGCCGATAGTAATGAAAAATTGTGCAGCCTGACAAGAATTAGTAAGCCTTTTCAATTACTCTGACGCCTTAGCCACTGACCATCTTCATCGTCCTCATCACTGCCATCCATGGTGCTCTCCAAGTAGTCCTCATCCAGGTCCTCCAGCTCCTCATCATCCAAATCATCATCGTCTTCAAGACCAGCATAACCAGTCAGACTCACGGGCACTTTGGCACCAGAGGTTGAAAATGCCACCTTATCGCCCTCTGTAGGCAGTCATCATGTAACTTAATATCACAGAATTTGACAATGTTAGACAAAATAACATTGAAGAGACACACATTAATATAATAAGTACAATTACATGATTGATAAATAAGTTCAAATAGGACATGAAATAGCAGACAAGAATGTCAATATATTCATGAAGGGCCATTCCGATCCAGACTAAGAAACATGAATTCAAGGCACTTAATATGAGTTTCTCACGAAGAAATCATTTACAGAATTAAAAAGCATTACTTTGTTTGAATTTATTTGAAATTACGCTTTACCATACAAACTTATCCTAAGCAACAAAACCAAAAAACTAATAAATGAATCTCTTTACAAAGGGACCTTCGGAAATACCCCTTCAAATAAGGTAATCATATACTAACCATATACACAGTATATTAATATGACTTTCTAGTAAATATAACCTGGGCTGATTACCTTTAAACGCAAGATCTAAAGTGGACTGGAAAATGCCATGTTTTACACTCAGATTGGCAACAGTCATTTCCTTGCCCTCAAACTCTAGGATGATCTGAAAATAGACAAAATTCAATCAACTATTTAGACAGACACATCAATAGGTGCATAACAAGGCCATAAGATGTAAAATTATTTTTATATCTTAAGTTTATATCATCAATGCTGGTGGAAGGGATTCCATTGAAATAAATCAGCTCTTCACTGAATGCTATGAATGTTGAATCAAGCTCAAATTCAACAACACAAATTACCTTATTTCAAACGAGTGGCACTTTTTACCAAATTAAACAATTTACAAGCTCAAAATTCAAGAATAAAGGGAAGTTTTTGACATCTTATATGAATATTGAAAATTAATCTATTGACATATGTGAACAGAATTCTGATATACATTAACTTTCCACATCGTTATACTTACTTGAACTATGCCATCATTATCAGAAGCACGGCTAGTGTCTAGAGCAGCTCGAGTCACTTGGATGCCATTTTCAACTTCTTTCTCATACTTCTTTCCAGGCTCCAAGATCAAACCTAGAAAATAAAATAATTTAGTTCAAGAAACGGTATCCCAAGTATACCAAACATTGTGAAAAAATTTGACATCTCTAAAAGACAAACATCAACACTTGTAAAAAGAACTTTTTGCTGAAGGTATATGCATCAAGACGTCTGCTAAAAAAATTGCTGATTAAAACCTTACAACAATTTTACCAACAATATTCTATTTAAATGGTCTCATTGGAGGCTACAAGGTCTGTAACTTCCATCTGATCATAATTAAGGGATCAGTTCTTCCACATTGTACAGTTTTATGCCTTCAGGTGCTGATGCAAATGCATTTTTGACACTTAGTGCAAGTATTAGAGGCATTTTAGTGTAAGCCTCAGCCTCTAAAAAAACAAAGTTGAAAAAGTTTTATAAATATTCCTAGACCCATAACTTGCTCTATGGTCATTCAGGACTAATCACAATGACATTAAGAGCACAATTGTGAAACTTGGAACACTTATGTAAAACAAAAATCTAAGACCCTTGTTTTTTGGGTAACTTTTTGAAAAAAATTAAAGAAGAAATTAAATTTATAGAAAATGGTGAAAAAGAGAGCACTGTAAAAATCTATCTCTTCCTAGGGTTTTCAAGCTACAATACAATCTTTAAGCTACATTTGATGCTTTAAGATTGTATCTAAAGATCATCTGGTCGTTTTTTCAGATTTTTTCAGTCATTCTATTTTTTTATTGTGCTGATTTATTTCAATTTTGACCCCCTCCCCTTCCTTTTTAGCGCATCTTCTTATTTATGAAAAAAATGCACTATTGTGCTTGCCATGTCCATCTGTCCGTCCATGACTTCATGTTTTTGTCAATGAGAAAATGTGCTCTCTGTCACTCACTGCAGTGAGTGCCGAGTTATATTTTTTCAATATATAATCACCCTGTTTTTAGCGCATTTTCTCATTTATGGAAAAAAGGAGCTATTGTGCTCATCATGTCCATCCATCCGTGACTTCTCTTGACAGAGAAAATGCGCTCTGTCATTCACTTCAGTGAGTATTGTTCTATTTTTTCAATACATAATCAAAACAAAAAAGAAATTAAAAAAAATGACCAGATGATCTTTAGGGAGTTTTCTTACAAATTGAATGGTGTATCTCTCAATGCTGTAACTTGAAAATTAGAGATTTTTAAGATAGCATATTTTGGAAATTTTTATTGTTCAGAGGAGCCACATGAGTAAAATTTATTGAAAAAAGAATATGGCCAAAAATTGCTAGATATTGTAGCCCAAACTCTCCCAGTGCCAATTAGTTACATTTAGGATACCAGCACACATTTCAAACTTATTCCTGTCCAGATTAACAGGAATAATAAGCTATAAATGTGACTTTTTGATATTGGTAACACACCAATATCAAACACAATATTGACCAACACAAAAAACATTGCTTTTTTGAATGCACATTGTTTCTAGCTCTCTATTGAATGCAAACACTGCAATTAACATAAATAATGATCTATAAATACCATTTATAAAATGAAAATTTGTAAATATTGTTAGAAAAATAGTCTTTTATAAAAGTTCATAACATCCTTAGGCAAAAATTATTGCATGTACATCCATGGTATTAGCTTTGGTGATTGCATCTTGTTTGTAGCTTTCAAGCGAGTGCAAACACTGACTTAGCAATTAACACTCAATGAGAATTATGACCTATAAATACAGATTTAATTAGAAGAAATCTTTATACACATCGTTTAAAAAAATTTCATTTAATATATTTTTTAAATTTTTATGCATAAACTAGAGCACACACATGTGGTTTGCAGTGTTAGATGCACCTTTTTTGCAGCTACAAATAAGAAAAGAAACCAGAAAAGTAAAAAAAAAAAACATTGCATTGATTTCTTATAAGTTATTGGTGGCATGATTTGTTACTACTTCATTAAGAGTTATTTGTTGAGTTCAACTTAGGGACTAAGTGTCAATTAATTAATACATTTATTAACACGTTTTTCTTAGCTTAGCTTCGCGTTTGTTTGTTTGTTTGTTTATTTGTTTGTTTGTTGTTAAGGGGACCGCCTAACCTAAATTGGAGATAGCCTATAACTCCTAAAGTTATTATCCGATCATCATGAAACTTCACATTCAAACGTAAAATGTAAAAATAAAAACATTTTACTTCTATGAATTTTTCGAAAAAATTGATAGAAAACGTGATATTCATAGAAAACGGAAAAATAACGGTTACTATAGAAAATCTATCTCCTCCCACAAATATCGTCCTACAACATCCAGACACGTATCATTCGATTCGTAAAGACCATATCTTGTCTCTTATACACATCTAGATGTGTATAAGAGTCAGCTACCTATCTGTTATGTGACTTTTCAATGTTTAGAAGATCTGCATTCCTGAAGTGTTTTTGTATATTGAAGCCAGTTAAATGGTCAATATTTAGCTCATTACCTTGCTCTATACAAACTTTATGAAGCTAATGAATAGACTTATCAATAATTGTTTACCCAAAAATCCCTAAGTGGTAAACACTTAGGGAACACTAAGTAAGGCAATAAGTGCCCTTTTTAGCCATCCATTATGATCCATATACTGTTATTGTTAGTAGTCTAATTGCAACATAAAAAAATAACACCTCAAAAAGACAAAAAAGCTGAAAAAATCAAAAAATCAAATAAATCATGGAAAAATCAAAAAAATATTTGATTTTTGATTATTTTAAAAAAATAAAAAAAAATCGCCAACCCTGTTTCCAGAGTACTTACTTAGAGCGGTCAGAGTGCTACATCATACATGACGTAACTTGTACATTATCTGTGATTGGTTGGAGCTTGTTGGCAGGCTGCCCCAAGCTATGTGGTTGTGGGTGATGTTGGGGGCCTTTTTTATTCCCATTTTAATTACCATATAAGGTAACTTACCCACAAAAGGGTTAAAAAGTTATATTTCGTTGGTCATCAAAGTTTATATCAACTACGCGAGTCGAACGAACAATAATAAAATGTAAGACATGTCCAAGACTCCGGGTTGCTTCTGACTCTTCTGCTTGCGACTTGCCGGATATGGAATGTACGGTAATCGTAACTGTGGCTATTAAACATGCAAAATGTAAATAGATGGTATTCAGTGTTGCCATATGACTTTGGAGAAGATTTCTTCTAAAATAAAGTTCAAGATTTCTCATTCACCAAATTTCCGTACCAAGAAAAATCATATATTATTGAAGGATAATTAAAGGCATACTGTACTGAGTATTACGTCTGTTCATCCACAAATTGCTCTTCCGCAGCATAGAATTGCTGGCCGGGATTGCGCTAACACATGCGCAAAGAGAAACAATTCTGATTTGAATGATATTACGCAAACCTATGGCTTTAGAAACCCCATTATGCAGTGAAATTTTCTCAAAAACATGCATCATCCAGAGCGTGGCTTTGCCAGTTGCCACTATGTGCAGCCCAACTTTCAAGATTACATCATAGGGCTAAGCCTAAGACTTAGTCATACTTGCGCCTTTGTTCTGTCCTTCAATGCTAGCTATTAGGCTAAGACTCTTAGCCTAAGAGTATTGAAGGCCAGAACAAAGGAGCAAGTATGACTTTCCCATATTCTTAAACACAGGCTTTCAATTTGTATTCTGTAAAACTTAAATTTTTTGATCAAAACACTGGTCTACATGGATCAAAAGCAATATATATATGAACCACCATTTTAAGAATTACATAGGGTAAACGCGGTATATTCCGACACATTAAGGACACATCGAGAAATGAAAAACTATAAAAAAAACCGTATGCGTTACGCAAGTTCTGTTGCCTTCACATGACTCTCAAAACACTTCACTACGATAGTCTGTACCTATGGTAGTCTGTGCCTATAGTAGTCTGTACCTATGATAGTCTGTACCTATGGTAGTCTGTACCTATGGTAGTCTGTACCTATGATAGTCTGTGCCTATGGTAGTCTGTACCTGTGATAGTCTGTACCTATGATAGTCTGTGCCTATAGTAGTCTGTACCTATAGTAGTCTGTACCTATAGTAGTCTGTACCTATAGTAGTCTGTACCTATGGTAGTCTGTGCCTATAGTAGTCTGTACTTATGATAGTCTGTACCTATGGTAGTCTGTGCCTATAGTAGTCTGTACCTATAGTAGTCTGTACCTATGATCTGTCTCTTATACACATCTAGATGTGTATAAGAGACAGACTTATAGTAGCTACTCAAAATTGAACTTGAGAGAGAGTCTAAAAACTCTCTGCTTTGCCACTATGCAATACATAAAGGCTAAAATAGTTCTTTGTAGCAATGAAGCAGTTGAAGCTGGCTGGTAGTCTTTATTGGCAGACTAGCCTAAGCCCTAAGGAATTAAGAGACGAGGCAGAGACTACAGTCTACAGCCTACAGGCGCTAAGCTAGCTTGCTCTTGAGTTAGACCAGCCGGCATGGTTAGGTACGTTTGCACTTTGCAGAGCTCAAACTCAAAGAACTGCGTGGCAAAAAAAAAAGCATTATTGCATTAGTTTAGCTTTAATTGATAAAAATGACAAATCTTTATACTTTTACTCATATAAACGGATAAAGCAAGACTACAAAGTTACTCACTCCAGAAAGACATGATGGCGAATTGCTGAATTTAATGACGCAGTATGAATGTATAGTATAGTGCATAGGTTCAAACACGTGCGCTGCAGCCGGGTTTACAACGCGAACAAGACTTCTCCAGTGGCGGGAATCATGGATGTTGGGAGTTTTTACCCTAGACTTTTACCCTTAAAATTCTAGAAATGACGCGAAAAAATCGTCCGTAACCGCATGAATTAATTACCTCCATCTCTCATTGAAAGATGAAAAAATTATTTGTATCAGTTTTTTTCAATCAACACTAAAATGCCTCTAGTATGTGATTCGTAATAAAAATTTAAATGCTTTAAACTTGTAGGGAGCTAGGCTGGTATTAAAACATAAAACTCCTACATCTAATTTTAATGTTTTATAAATAAAATATAATTTTTTAAAGTTTAATACATTTATAGTTCGAAAATGAATTAGTTCAACCATGGTTTGAATCACCATATTCATGTCTAAAAAAGTGGTATACACACCGAATCGACACTTCTCCGGAGACGCCTGTGAGATATACACATAGAATATACATTACCTAATACGTTGTAGAAAAATTGAATGATATTTATGTGGAATGAACTATTTAGCTCCAGAACTACACTGATGCGATTAAAAACCTTCGGTCAACCCTAAACATATTTTTTCCAATAAAATCATTATTACTAAATCAACGAGACCATTATTGGAAATGTCGGGGATATTACTCCTGATTCTTAAAAGTAGCCTAACGGTGTTTTGCTCAGTAACTGGTCGTACATTAATTCCAATCAAACGAATATGACCTTGTAACAAATGTACGGCCGGACCCGCAGCCGGTCTCGCGGCCGGACTGCAAATTAAGTGAGCATGGAATATCTCCCAAACTAATGGACGTAGCTCGATGAAACTTGGTACATATACATATACTGTGAAGAAATGTGTAGCCTTATCATCTTAGAGAGATGATATTCGTTTAATGAACTGCGACGAAAGCTGATGACAGCAACAGAAACGAAAATCCGAACGCAGTTGTTTGCATTGAATGCCAAAAGTGAAGTGCAAAAAAAAACTTACCGTTTTGCAACGAAAGCCGGACAAATAAGACCCAACTTCGGAGCTATGACTATGAGTTCTGTTATGGGGCATAGAGACACTTGAAAACGCGAGCCCTAGGCTATCCTGAGAGCAAGGACAGATTATTAAAAAGCTGCTAACCATGCCTTGACAGATGCTGCCGTCCCCATTTACATAAAAAAATATAACTCAGTACTCACTGCAGTAAGTGACAGAGCGCATTTTCTCGTCGACGAAAACATGAAGTCACGGAAGGACAGACAGACGGACGGGCATGACGAGCACAATAGGGCCTTTTTTCATATATGAGAGAATGCGCTAAAACGGGCAGACAACACTCTTTCAAATAGGAGTTTTGGGATGCCAGCTTTCCCCTTTCGCTTGCTACACTTTAAATGAGCATTTGACGCCTCAATGCTTGTACGTTAACGCAGGGATGATTCAGTGTTTTTGCGCGACTAATTACTGTGTTAAAACATCTTCAGAACCTTTTTTTCTAATGCTCAACGTATTGCTTTAACAATCTGCCTGAGCAATTATTCTCCTCAGCTTTAACCGTCTCTCCATAGTTATTCTCATTCCGCTATAGCCACTATACATATCAGTTTCAGCTATATGAATCCAATTCTAAGAGACTAAAAGCAATCAACGCTTATTAAAATTATATGTTCCATGTTTTGACTCCATAGACGTTAGCCTACAATGGCGACTTGCACTGGCTCACACCTGTCAGGCTGTCACTTATGCCGGTCTAACTCAACGAAGTAGCTACGTTCGAGAAATTCTTTTCCAGACAAAAAAAAAAGGATGTTTGAAAATACAAGTTTAAATTGCTGAAAGATTCAAGTTAAAATTCGCCCAAAAGGCTGAGGCATCACACTGTCATATTTTTTTGTTGTGTTGTACAATTGGTTAAATTTAGATGAAATTAAAGCGACCCAACTTCAAGGTTTCATTTATTGTACAGAAATTGAAAACCTGCAGAAAAAAACATCTGAAAATCTACAATTTTTACACAAATCAGTTCAAGACACAAAAATAACAAGCACAAACGCCTATCAATACAACAAAACTAACATAAATGAGAATATCTGCATTAATTTATAAGGGGGAAAAACCATCACCAAACCCGAATAGTAGGTGCCAAGATTAAAAACCTACAATAACAATCTGGGGAAAGCTTATCACGATGGCAAGGTTATCACTTAAACTTAAGAAATACTTTTAATTACATTTCTTTATCATGAATGCAACAAATAATACAGGCGAGCGATATATCGTTATACTTGGTAGCAGCTTTACGTAGTACAAAAACCTGACATCACTGCAGTCCTAAGCAATATTATTGAACTAATTCACCAAAACAACTTTTCAATGACATCTGAGCTCATAATGTGGACTGAAACAACATAACCCTGATACACTATTACGAAAATAGATCCTAATCTCAATCAAGTTGATCAAGTATCCTCCACCATAGCAGACCTGTGAGTTGTAATGTTCAAAATTTAACTTGGAAGAAAGACGAAACTTCGGTGCCAGCGGTAGAGATGTACTAATACAAATAAATGCTTTCAGCTTTTACGAAGACGGACAAAAATTGAAACGTATATGACACAGGGGGTATAAAGGTCAAGCCTAAATAACAGCAAAAATTGAGAAAATAACTTACTCTACTGATTTAGCCGCACAATATTGCACAAATAATAACTGCCAACAAACACAATTCAGGAATACAAGCGTTATGATTTACATAGAGGACGAAACGAACATCCTCATCCAACACACTTCTCGGGAGTTGTGTACGTCCGAAGCGACATTATCACACGTCTGGAAGAAGTACTACGTGTTTATAATATTTACAGCGTTACGAGGAACTCTTACACAAGCCGATATTCACCGCATAACTAATGTGAAGAATTTCAGTGAGAAGTAAGTCCTGGTGCTCTACATAAATAAGAGTCCGGGCAGTAATGTAACACTGCTTTGTGTTATGCTATGCATTTTGCGACTTAGAACATAATAATGGTAAGATATACGACTTAAATCTTGGATAACTTCTTGTGCAGAGAATTATCAGTGACTAATTTTCTTCATACACATGGCGATAGGAAATAGGGAGCAATAACCATTATTTCAGCTCAAACGACTACATGGTAAATAAAGAGCAAGTGACAATGAATTAGCCAATGAATTCCTAAGATAATTCTTAAGCACTAAAATTTTTTTTTCTAAAATCTTCCTCACAATTCACTCATCTCACGACCCGAAATTATTCATTGAAACAACCTTAAAAGGAATGTTTTGAGTCAGCCCTTCAGTTATGTATGCAGTACAAAATTATTATACATATAGAATGTCTTAGCAGCATAGTAATTACACTATATATCTTTAATTCATTGCCATGACATGGCTACTTTCAGTTAAGTACAAAATTTGCTCAAGTCATTTAAATAGAAAATGATAAACTTGAACAGATCTAAGTTGGCGGGTAACTCTCCAGTTAAATCATAGACAAGATCATTAAAATTAAGGAAAGACTGACGGTTGTTCATTCCAAGGAGAAAAATAAATCAGAAACTAGATCAACAAAGTTAAAATACAAAAGTTATGATAACAACAAATCTATGCTGACCTAATGACAAGGTGGAATCATTGACAGGAAAATATAATGGGTTCTAAGAATTGAATAGTTTTGAACAGAAGATAAGCTAACCTACAAATTCAACTTCAAAAAGAAACCAATGAGTTCCAAGGAAGCATACCTGCAATATAAGCAAATAGTATAAAGTCTGATCACATGATAATACGAATACGAGTCATCAGGTACGAGGTTAAATATTCTGTAGAGAATCTAAAGAATATAAGGAACGGTACATAATGAGTGTCATTGAGGCTAGGACACATAAGCGACAAATTCAAAGTTTTGTGATGGACAAACCTCCCACAAATACATTACAGTGAAGCAGGGAAACGATACAGCCAAGAGAATTAAATGAATATTTTACGTAAGAGAAAGCATTAAGATAGCTTTTTATAACAGTGTAATTGCATTATAACTCAAATGGGAATCTCAACAGCGAACAAATACTGTTGAATGTAAGATGACAGCGGCACTCGCCGTTTTTCATTCTACAACAATCGACTAACCCTGCATAAAAATTTCGTAATATTTCAATGTTAACTTCGAAATTATTGATGTGAAAACTCAAGTGATGCAAGAAAAAAAAGGCACTAACTACTATGCCATGATTATTTATCAGAACTAAAATTTGATTATTTGTAGTAAAATATGTAAAAGCTATTCCAAGACACGAGCAAACATAGATAATAATATTTAATGAGAAAATATAAATTTTCATCGTTAAAACTCTGAGACGAGTATCCACCAGCAAACATAGCAACAAAATTTGAGTGCATGGAAGCAATCATGTTTCTTGATGAACTTCAATTAAAAGCATAAAAAAAAGCGACACCAAATAAACGAAACACAAAGAGGAGAAATCGCTAAACAAAGAAACATCAGAAGCATCTTCTACGTCACTTTCGGTTCAAAAAACAAAACCGATTCTAACAGATGATCAATTTATTCCACAATTTGTTGAAAACAGTAGCTGGAATATAAGGAGAGGGATTGTTCAAAGTCGAATATTATTATTTTATTAGTTCAATTATTATTGAACTCAACTAAGAACATTGGGCGCACGCAGGAAGGTTCTGATTTAGTTATACTGTGCGTTATACTTTAGGGCAAGTACACAACACAAAAAAGATCTATCAGTCCTTGGATTTAATGATTGGATGATTCTCTTCAATTTTGAAGAAAATCACAAGAAATTTTTCTCGCAAAATTTTTCTAAATTTTAAAGAGAATCACAAGAAGCAGACCATGAGGCAATTCGAGGTGAATAAATAGAAAGGCTGTGCGTTTCAGGTAGGATAATCAAGCTAATATGGAAGACACCCTCAGTGAAAATTCGAGATTAACAAATTAATAAGTTTTGCTTCAAAAAAGTTTCTAATTTGCTGGCAGATAAGAACAGAGAGATGCCAGCTTATAACTTTCAAAATTATCCTCCAATCCTTTAGCTTACAAACGACATAGAGCAATGAAAGAATCACAGGCTTATGACAGGTCGCCAGTTCATCTAGTTCATCTTTAGCTATTTCACAAAAAACTCTGAAAGCCTGCAGATAAATGTGAAACTGAAACATTGTTCCTCTTTACGACAGTGTAACATTTCTGTAGTAAATCCTAGACATCAGTGATCGTACGGAGAGGGTAAAAATGTAAAGCGGCAAAATTTGAATGATAATAGAGACCTCAGCTAAAACAGGCACATTAGCTTTAAAATTTCAGGATTAGATTGCGTAATGAACGTATAAAGTTGCGTTGCTTTCAAAGACTCTTATTGATAAATGATTTTTCACTTCTCTGTCCTGATGGTTGACTTATAATATTCCAGCTTCAGTGAATTGGTCTACATTGATAATAGGTGTGTGAAACTTCAATATAGTGAAGTTGAATGTCCTGTATACAGAACGTAATCGTATTCTGAAATGAGAAGTGTGAGAATATTGATATAGTTGTAGTACTACAAAATTTGTATATGGGAATATTAATTGACTTTTGTGACGCCAGCACAGCGTAAATATTAATAAATCTGCTACCTGCTTTCATGGAATCGTCTGTGTCAAATTGGCTGTCTTCTCGATGTGAATTCTTTTCCGCCCAGCTGCCGCTGCACTTGATGGAAATACACTTCTACCACGCGTCAGCGGTCAAACTAAAGGGCGGCTTTTGTTCACTAGAGAAAGTCAGCGATTAAGACAAAGTAGGCGCTAGTTGATTTCCATCGGCTAACTACACAACTCGATGTACGTGGCGCCCACGTCCTGCAAGGTGTGGTGGGCGCCGCCACGTCCCATGCTCTGCAGGCGGTGGACGTGGCAGCTGCACTACTCGATGTACGTGGCGCCCACATCCTGCAAGGTGTGGTGGGCGCCGCCACGTCCCATGCTCTGCAGGCGGTGGACGTGGCAGGTGCGGCACAGCAGGCGCCCCTCCAGAGGGTAGCAGCGCTGCTCAGGCTCGTCCGTCAACTGCACCCCGCAGTGCTGCAACAAACATGCCAGATCCTCCATCAAACATCGAGTTGAATGAGAGAATATTTGGTCGCTTACTTTAATGTTCAGTGAAGGAAAAGAGTAACACTGAATTAGTAAAAGCTTGAAACATAAGATGAAAAATAGGTAAATATACTTTTTAATGCCAAACAAATATCCATGCAGAGGCTCGATGGCTTAGAAATGCCTGAATTCAAATATGAATCCACAAATGGCTACTAGGGATTCTATTAATGTAAGAGAGATGGCCAAACTTGCTAAATATTTTGCTCTTTCTTGAAAATATCTAAGTATTTGAAACAAATAGATTTAACGACATGCATGGCACTAATTTTCAAATCAAAAGTATCTAAGTCAAAGGGAGACTATGATAAGTCTTCCTTTACGATGAGGTTTAACTTCCTTTATGATGAGGAAGTAATGATACTGATAGGCTCACCTCACAGACGTAGCAGTCGACGTGAAAGTCTTTGTCCATACTGACGACCCTGACGGTCTCGCCGGTGCCTTCCACGGGCGTGATGCTCTTGCCGCACGCAGCGCACTTCGGGGCAAACATCCTGGAGAACATCAATAATAATAACAATAAGTCAATAACAAAGGTACAGGAAAGCATCATAAAGTCAATAATGAAGGTACAGGAAAGCATCATAAAGTCAATAACGAAGGTACAGGAAAGCATCATAAAGTCAATAACGAAGGTACAGGAAAGCATCATAAAGTCAATAACGAAGGTACAGGAAAGCATCATAAAGTCAATAACGAAGGTACAGGAAAGCATCATAAAGTCAATAATGAAAGTACAGGAAAGCATCATAAAGTCAATAATGAAAGTCTAAATGAGGGTTAAACATTGCGAATAGTATGAAGCTAATGATGACAGAGCTTAAAATTTTTCACGCAAGGCTTAGAATGTCAGAGTGAGAAACGGTGCCAGGAAATTAAATGTAAAAACTAACCTGTAATATGATGACAAGCTAATATCTTTAACAGAAGTTCAACAGAATTGTACAGTAGACGAGTTCCGAAGTGAACGAAATTAAGAAAAATGATTGATCTCGATATACTCGTCAATTACTTTACAAACTGAACCAAAAGTATAAAATTAATCAACTGACATTCGTGGGGCCAAAGCAACAAAGAAACTGCATGATGCGATCATTATTCCATCGACTGTGTTTTTTAAATTTTTGAATTAGGACAAGTCGGAATGTCAATAACTGTAGTCGGAATGTCAATATATTCCGACTATAGTTATTGACAAGTCGGAATGTCAATAGCTGTAGTCGGAATGTCAATGAGGTTTGATAGTTATCTAAAAAGTGTCACCCATTGACTAGTATAAGAATTATGGGTGCTGTTAGACAATGAAATCTGTACCTATAACAATCGGTAGCTTTGGTAGTCTGTACCAGTGGTAGTCTGTACCTATGGTAGTCTGTACCAGTGGTAGTCTGTACCTATGGTAGTCTGTACCTATGATAGTCTGTACCTAGTACCTACGGTAGTCTGTACCTATGGCAGTCTGTACCTACGGCAGTCTGTACCTATGGTAGTCTGTACCTATGGCAGTCTGTACCTATGGCAGTCCGTACCTATGGTAGTCTGTACCTATGTTAGTCTGTACCTATAACAATCATCACCTATGATAGTCGTGGACACAATAAATTTTGTTGTCGACGTCGACGGTGAAGGGTACGCCGTCCAGACACTCGTTGCAGATGCAGCAACGGAAGCAGCCAGGATGATATGACTTGCCCATGGCTTGCAGGATCTGGCACAACATAAATTATGAGCAGGCGGCAGTCGTGACATGAATCACAGTATAATAGAAAAGAATAGCGTTGATCCGCCACACTGTTTTGTGCACCGGCATACTTGGTTCCACCTCTGGAAGTTTGGATTTAAAGATATGGAATCGCTGCATATTTCTGACGGAAACCTTGCCGTAATAATGCTTACAGTTCTTATCCACTTAGAATTTCAAGTCGATAAATTTTATTTTTTTTTCTTAGTTAGGTTGCAGTCTCTTTCGTGTAACTTTTGCAGTTTTCTATTGATTGTCATGAATAAATGATACGTTAGGCCGAAGATTGAAGACCTCAGAGTCATAACACGATAATTTGAGGCTCTTGCTTTGGTATTACCTTTGATCCATTGCTACATTTCCCCGGAACGAGGTTACATATGATAATTGTATAATTATCCAAGCTTGCAACATAGGCGTTCATCTCGCCTATATACAATAAATAGCTGACTTTTTATTCCAACATATCTCGCAAACACTGACCATTTCCATAATAAGGTGTCCACAAATGGCACATTTCTCAGCAGTCTGCTGGAAACCAGAGTAGAGGTAATCCTCCTCGCAGTAGACTTTGCCGTGGACGTTGTAGAAAGCCTTGCCCCGCAGCGCCCGGCCACACGAGCAACAGATGAAGCACGACGTGTGGTAGAGGTTACCCATGGCTTGACATGCTTGTCCAGCACCACGCACCTTCTCCCCACATGTGTGACATACGCCTGCACAATTGAATATGCTTCAGAAACATGCTTTGGGAAGCTTCGGAAACATGCTTTAGGAACCTTCAGAAACATGCTTTAGGAACCTTCAGAAACATGCTCTAAGAAGCTTCAGAAACATGCTTTAGGAAGCTTCAGAAACATGCTTTAGGAAGCTTCAGAAACATGCTCTAAGAAGCTTCAGAAACGTGCTTTAGGAAACATGCTTTAGGAACCTTCAGAAACATGCTATAGGAAGCTTCAGAAACTTGCTTTAGGAAGCTTCAAAATGTTATACAATATTAATCAAGTGTGAAATATTCGGAATAAATTAACAAATTGTCGTTAAAAATTAAATTTAAAAGATAAATAAGATTTAATCAAGCATCTGATTTCACAACACCTCTCACAGCTAAGAATCAGGATAACTTTGTCGTGAACAGATAATCACACGTTAATCTATATTGAAAAAAAACTTACACTTGATTAAGCGAGCCATCGTGAAAAGTTTTCCCTGAGCCCGCGAACTAGAAACTATCAGAATTAAAGTATTGGCGCGTGCGATTCCAATGGATTTATTATTATTAAAACTCTCAGTCAACCCTGCATTTAGAACCATTACTTCATAAAAGGGAATCTCATCCACAAACGCCTGTTTCGCAGGTTTAATATTCAATTTGAAGTTGTTATGCAGTCGCACCAATGACATTTTAGAACATCAACACCCAGGAATGAGATAAGTTAAATTTGAGATGGCCAAGTCAATTCTTAAAAATTCTACGGTATCACAGAGGGCCACGTAGCAATAGGTAACATAAGACTACACCGAGATAACAATTCTCCACTCTAGAGCCTAAAATATACGAGTTCTTCGTTAATATTAAAAGTCGTTAATATTAAAATCTATGAACTGTGAGCAACAGAATCGAGCGAAATTAGCAAACAATTCAATATGATATCTTTAAACGTAATTTTGGACATAGCCTTGGACCGACAACCTAGCACCGCGTTTATACTGTCATGTCACAATAAAAAGATTGAGAATGCAATGGCTCCTAACATTGAGGAATATGTATATATTCTCATAACATTGAGGGAAATGCGTGCACATAATATAGAGGAATATGCATGGACATAACCAGACGGCACTCGCGGAAAGCAGAGACTGCATGACCGATGGTGCAGTACAGCAGGCACTGTGCCAGCTGGCATCAGAGTAACAACAATGTATACATTCACGTTGTTTTCGGGGCAAACATGTAGGCACGTCGTTCCTGTGCACGTAACACTGCTCGATGTACAGGCATCGTGAGGGCGGTGAGCAGTCTATTTGGCTATCTGTCACGCACATCTTCAATGAAGACGGAAAGATTTTTTTCTATTCGAGCACAGTTCTTAAATTAATTATTTTATTTGACTATCAAATTCACATTGCTCATATTAGCCATTCTCTAAATATAGCACTGAATAGGTATTGATTGTTAATTGTGGCTCATATTGAAAGGGTCTTCAGCACCATATAAGTATGCATAACTAATACTGACTGTAATAATCACCCTCTCGCTTGCTGTTGTTACACTGTAAGAGTCTCGAGCACATCTAAGTAAACTATAATGTGAACACCAACAATAATTACTCACCGTAATAATCACCCTCCTGCTCGCGCTTCTCCATCTCTGCTTCTATTTGTTGTGTGAGAGCTTCAAGCTTCCGCTCTGCTTCGCTCATCCCCTGTAAACAAAACGATGCACGATCAGGTCTAGGATTCAAGTTAACTCTTCATTAAAAGCATTCTTCAACATACAGCATGCCTAATTCCTTTCATTTAGATACATCTGCAAACAATCCACATAACAAAAAATGTTACCGACTTGCGGGTTTGGTTAAAACACTTTCGAGTCTTGAAAATAGAAGCCACCAAGAAATTTAAATACATCAAAGATTAAACGCAGGGTGGATCAAAATTCCGTTGATATTAATTTCGAGCAAGACCGTAATTTGCTTTAGCGCGGTCATGTAGTAAGCATGAACCCCAACAATCATGGCTCTTTTTAATAACCTAGACCAAACATTAACATTATAATTGTGTTCCAAACTCAGCTCATGTGGGAAGTATCTTGTCTCAAATGTCCGTATAGTTCCTTCTCTTCTACCACGTATTCACATTTTTTGTAACTGAACCAAATTTTCGGAACAACAATAAAACCTGACTTAGAGACCGCGTGCAAGGCTGCTAGCGTGGAGCGCTCGATCGCTGCGGTACAGCCATGGTTAAACTAGACAACTAGTATAAGGTTGACCGATCAGAAGCCTATTTTTGCGATGTAGTTCGTTGTCCGCCTGTGACGTCACTGATCTCAGTGACGTCACGGGCATTAACCAATCACCGAAATGCGATCACACCAGTCAACCAATCCGTCATGGGCATGACGGGTTTGTTTACGTTTCTCGATCTCAGTAACGTAACAAGAAAGCTGAACTGAAAAACGGAACTTCTCGTGGGTCAACCTTATATAGTTCAATCATGGGTACAGCAATGGAGCCAAAATCACGGAGGCCAGCAAGCAGCACTAGACATAACCAAGCAATTGCTTCAAGCACGAGAAGGTGCTTGAGGCACACAAGGACTTTGTTCATTGGGAATACTGAAGACGTTGGAAGTAATGGAGGCGCATGATTCAGTTTCGTAGCATAACAAAGGCCACTCAATTTTCAGAACCTGAATTCAATCAGATGGATAATGCCATCAGCACAAGAAAAATATAATAAAATAGAACAAATATACACTCACTAAATGCTGAACAAATCAGCGCAAATAGATATTGAGAATTGCAACGTTATACTTGAAACAAACTAAGCTAAGCGAATTAAACTAAAATGTCAGCCTATTTCAGGTTCAGGATACGCGCGGCAAATTTATTAGGTTCGAGTTAAATGTTGAAGATGGTTCTAATCACAACTCATTTAGTTGTTGGTAAAGAGAAGTTATGCGAGTTATACGAGAGGAAGAGAGCAGAGGTATGCGCGGGGAAGAGAGGGGAGGTATGCGAGGGGAAGAGAGGGGAGGTATGCGCGGGGAGGAGAGGGGAGGTATGCAAGAGGAAGAGAGGGGAGGTATGCGCGGGGAGTAGAGGGGAGGTATGCGCGGTAAGAGAGGGGAGGTATGCGCGGGGAAGAGAGGGGAGGTATGCGAGGGGAGTAGAGGGGAGGTATGCGAGAGGGGAGTATAGGGGGGCGGCGTCCAGGCGAATGAATGGGAGTGTGTGGGGCGCCATGCACGACGCAACGAGCCAACGCTGCGCTGGAATGCAGCCCCCCTCTGGCCCTGAGGGGTTAGGGGGGGGCGGCGTGCAGGGGGGCAGGGGGAGAGCCGCGGTAACCACACGCCAACAACGTACACACAAATGATGACGTAGGGCCATTACGAGCGTCATTAGAAATTATAATTAATGCCACGAATGTTTCGAAAACACCGAGAATGTTGACTATAATGCGAGACAACGTAAATCATCGTGGCTTCTGTGGTCGCGCCGATCGACAATTGGCAAGGCAGGAATTCTTGTGAGCACACTCCATAAAATAGAAGGAAGACATAAGAATTGAGAATAGGATATCGATTCTATACTAACTGTGAATAATTGAAAATCGAATCAATGATGAAAAACTAAAGTGTTACAAGAAATGAATGAAACGACGACAGCAGAAGGGGAAACTGAATTAATAAATAATCGAGCGGGAGGATATTTTCAACGCAAATGAAACGTATAATAGTAATCGAACTATCTGAGCGAAACAATTAATTTACATTTAGTTTGACAAGAGTTAGTTAGTTTAGCTTAATAATAAGTAAAGTATTTAGACTTGATACTAGCAACAACAGTCTAGCAATGATACTAGCAATGATACTAGCAACAGATCATTAACATTTAGTTTGATAATAGTTAGTTAGTTTAGTTTAACAAGAAGTAAGGTATTTAGACTTGATAGTAGTAAAGAGAATGCGAGGGCAATGACCACACCGCCTCCCGCCCTCACCGGAGATACAACGGAACGTGGATGCTGCACTGCAGCGGTGCAGCTCACATGCTTACAGCGTCTTACTCGACCTAAGTATTAAAATCAATTGTTTGCTTGAATCGCAAGTTAACCAGCAATTTAAAAGCAAAGAAAATACCACAAAAATTCACCATATCTTTATAAGAGAAAACGTTTCGGAGTCCAGCTCCATCGTCAGTTCAAAACACAAAATTCTATTCAGAAAAAGTTCAGTCCTAGAAACACAAATAAATTTGAACTATTTGTGTTATGAACTGACGATGGAGCTGGACTCCGAAACGTTTTCTCTTATAAAGATATGGTGAATTTTTGTGGTATTTTCTTTGCTTTTAAATTCCTGGCTCACTCGACCTCTTACAGCTGCACAACGTCTTGCGCAACACTCATATCTTTAACTCACTCACAAACTCATCACTCATTCACTAGTGGAGGTCAGGTTCAGGTGGTCAACAAGTCTGTTAGTGCAGGTGGTGCAGCAGCAGCGAGGAAGCTACGACTCTGCTAACTTCACTAGCGGTGTCTGCTGCATGCATCGCTTGTCAAGTTATCAAATAATAATACGACCGTGATTTGATTACAATCAAACGTCTAATTTTTTTTATTTGCATCAATATCATCAACATATCAATGCTTGGCAAATAGTGTAATTGAGTATCCGTAAAAAATTCTAGAATTGAGACAAACCTTTGAGTAAAAATTCATCGTTTCTACGACCCGTATATGAAAAAAAAACTCCAAGCGAGAAAAGCAGCTGAAAACTTTTTAAATAGAGAGCAGAGAAGCGAAGGCCTCGCACGCCGGCACTCCCACAACACCCAATATGGCAGCTATTCTGCTCTCGCTTTAAAAAATCCCTAGCGTCGAGCGCTAGCCAACTGCCTTCCTTTGATGTCTTCAGAGCTGACTACGCAATTACATGTCCAGGGTCCATCGAGCGGCCAGAGTTGGCCAAGCATGCAACACGCAATATTCCTTTGATGCCTTCAGAGCTGATCACGCAATTACACGTCCAGGGTCCATCAAGCGGCCAGAGTTTGCTAAGCATGCAATATGCAACTTTTTTAGTTATGATCTTAAAACACATCTAACATTTCACATGCCTGCGCCAGAAAAAATCTCAATACTCGGTGTTTACAAGTTAGTATATAGTTTTAGTGGAAATTTAAATTCATGTGCCCAAAGTTCGCGATTACGAAGCCGCAGATATAAGGCCCTAAAGAAAATACATTATAATAGGTCCGGGAAAGAGCAAACTATTCTGACATAGAAGAAACCAACGACTCACCTTGGAGTATGAGTGTCTGAACGCCATGACAGTTCGAACCTTGATGCGCACAGTTTGATGGTTACAAGCTAACTAAACGTTCAGCTTGATAACAGTTCACGTAAATGATATGTCCTTTACATCAGAATCATACAGCAAAAGTAGGACACACTGCACTCAAAATAATTCATGAATTTATGAGAGGTTTCTTTGTTTTCTTTGCATCCAAAACTATCCGTTGTTTTCAGTGAGCGGTCAACAAAATTTTCACGATTCGCAACTGAAAGTTTAAAATGAGAAAGCAGGATATGAATAATATAGTCCATTGAGTTAGTTAATTTAGTTGCCACATGTTTACTAGCGCTTCAGCTATTTAGCTACCTCGAACCGGAAGTCAAGATGAACATAACCAATAAGATGGTATAAGGTTTCAATTATTGAAAGTTTCTCAAATCAAAAATAGTTCATCACCCGCAAGGGGTGGAAGGTCTCAATTGCCCAGCCCGCTGAAGTTGGCTCGAAAGAAGCAGCGTTAGCATCTCAACGAGACTAGTGACATGTAGAGACAGGTGACAAGGAGGGAAAAGTGACAAGGAGGGACAGGTGAAAAGCAACAGCAACGAAGACACTCGAACAAGAGGTCGCTTACGCGGGACGTCGGCCGCCCGCACGAGAGAGACAGCTAGAGAAGGGAAATGTAAGGAATCCTACCTACATAATAACTTAATGTAAGGAATCCTACCTACATAATAACTTGATACCACAACTGAGACCTGCAGTCAAACACCGTGGGCGCTCAGGAACAATCCCCCTATAGGAGAGCGAAATCCCATAGGACTTCTGACGATATATTCCATTGATTATAAACGCTTGCCGTTGACAAGTGAAACAACAGGCAGGCACAATTTATATTCGTCTTGCAAAGTTACAATAGCAACTCTGAGAATATTAACAACGATGTATAGATACGGGTAAGCATTTGCATCAATAAAATCTATTTACAGAGATTTCAATGCACGCCAGATAGCGATGCGAACAGTGCTAAACGAAAACCACGAAGTAGTAAAAACTGCAAAACTCAATAAGCAAAAGTCGTGAAAATTGAATATAAATCAAGCAAGCGAGTTCGAAATTCAATATATAATGTAAGAACAAGCTTACAAGTTATAATATGATTTTCATACATCGAAAATAAAATAAAAAATTCTCTCAAACAGTGATATGTTAGCATGTCAGAAACATCATTGATGCACTAGATTTCTGTTACACATCACGGAATATCCTCCGCTAAACTTCCAATTAATGTGGCAGGTGAACGCATTTTTCGGCACACTTCCGTCCAGCAAGACTGCCACACAAGGAAATCTGATTACGTATTCATCACAGAGCCCATGATAATGTTTATTGCTCT